GCGAGAACGAAAGGCTGTGGAGATCTTGATTTGAGTCAACACTTTGGAAGGAGATATCGTCAATCATATCCTTGAACTGACTTGCATCGCGCGTGCTTGACTTAAATTTCGAGACAGAACGGATTTCTTGAACGTCATCGCCAATCCAGGAGCGAACCAGAGCTAGAGATCGATCTCTCTGTCGCTACTCTCCACTGAAGAAAGAGAGAATAATGTATTTTGAACTACATGCAAAGCAACTCTCTCTCACTTCGAAATAAGGACATAGTCACTGTACTGTAAACTGCCCGTCGATCGACGCGTATGCACGATAACCAATCCAGTAGGCGCGCTTTTCCTTCGGCAAGATTGCCCGAAAAAAGGTGGTTTCCAGACACCAAAAAACTCATACGGTGCACGCGCCTGATCATGATTCATGACCGATACCATATGCACCTCCCGCAATCACAAGTCAGTTGACCGATGACTCTGCGCCAGGCCTTGGCGGATAATGCTCGACAACTGGCAGATTCTGCTCGAAAAGCAGTGAAATTGACAAAATCCAACAACCGGTATGACAGGCACTTATTTTAATTCTGCTCCATTTCTTTATCTACCTACCAAACATGCATGAAACATACCAGAAAAAGCACCAAATAATAATTATGCCATTTTCTGCCAACATTTATATCCGCTAAGGGCTAACCTGCGTCAGGGTTAACGACTCCGCTCGTGCATGCATGTACATGTACACTTCAGTACATGAAGAGAACTGGATAGTGGCACCTGCATGTTACCTTGCCCAGCACTAAACAAACAAGGCAAAAATAGCCGTTCTGATCATTCTTGGAATGTAACTTGCACAATGGCTTTCTCTGCATGAATGTAGGGAATTGCAATGTAGCAGCTAATCACAAAAGCAAGAGAGTTCCAGATGCTAAAAGATAAGCTGGACCACGTATAGATAGCTTCCCTCAAAGATAATGCCGGAAATCAATGGTTAGAGGGAAACTGCTAAGACCACAACCTCGATTTCAGAAGGAAACTAATAATGGCCTAAGATGAAGAGCCAAGGATGAATTTATAGCAAAGAAAAGGACCAAGGAACTGCAAATTGGGCTGTAATGTCGATGACGATACTGGCAAGACCATTGGACAGTACCGTCAAACCAGGATTCAAGGACGCAAAGCATACCATACAACTTGTGTGACTCTTCAAGAGACACATACGTTGTGTGCTAGGTTGCTTTGCATCCGTGAATCGTGGTTTGACCAAGTATTGTCCAATGGTCTTGCCAGTATCGTCATCGACATGCATGTACATCCGCCAACGTCCTTCACAGCTGAAACGTTCAGCTTGTGCTTGTCTTGATTGCGCGCACCTTCCCCTCCTATGTTATTACTCTTAGAACCATCTAAGTTGAAAGGCGATTGGAGACTGAGCTCTTCCAAGACGTGGCACTGGCAGACCTGACTAACAGCTACTACGGTACGTGTAGAACGTCAACACCGTCGGTCAGTGTCGTGCATTATGTTATTACATGAGCTGATTGTCAAGTAACTGGTGGTGTTAGCGGACATTACAGCGTAACTTGTAGTTATTTGGTCCCTTTCTTTGCTATAAAGTAATCCGGCCTAGTACTTGTAGTAGGTATTTAAGGTACATGATTACATCAGTAGTAGAGATTCTTTTTAAATTAATATTAAGATTATTACGGAGTGGCAGCTAGCGTAAGTAAAAGCGCCGACTCACGTTGTATACTGTACTTTTAAACGACCCCATAATGCAATCCACTGGCCCACAAGGCCACAACCATGAAAGTACTTGCATATTCTCTAATACTCGTACAGTCAGTTTCTTCATTTTACTTCTCAACAAGCGAGCAGTGAACTTTCCCGCTCGGCACGGGCTTTTTTCCCGAGCCTGAGCAGAGCGAATAACTTTGTGTAAAGGATTTCAAGGCAAGAATTGGAGGCGTATCCAATTTCGAAAGAAGTGTCAGCACGGGCGCGATCCACACAGTCAAGTCAAGCCAATTTAGTAACAGGACGTTTTAGTAACCGAACGTTTTCGTTCGGTTACCATGGTTACTAAATTGGCTTTACTTGACTGTGAGGATTGCATCAGTGCTGACACTTCATTCGGAAAGGTTCATACGTTTTTCTTCAATTTCACGATTCGAGTGAGACTCAGCTTATACATGTACATGTAGGTGAGTAGATCAGACCCACCACCAAGTTGTCAAAGACCAAAATTCTCATTCACTGCATCCATGTTTACCTCATGTCAGGCCACAAGTTCCCAACTAACTGGGCAGCATGCCTAGAAAAATTCCTTAGGCAAAAATCCTTCTGTTGGTAGAACATGCTTAGATATGTGATTCATTACATCATCATTTTTAATCAAAGATATTGTGAATGTTGAAGTCATTATTACAAAAGTATATATGGATGATTTGAAATGGGAATTGGATAAAGTAAACCATGTAAACTACCAGGGATCTAGGGAAGCGAACAGCTAGAAAAGTGAAACAACAAAAATATACAAATAATCTACGTGGAGATAAAAGTTTAATAATAGCTATGAAAAGTATGAATGCCGCAGACATCACCACGCAACATGACAATTTGTTCAAGGTTTGGTTTTGTGTGTTTCCAAAATCGATTTTCAAGCTCCGATCATCAGTGGAAATACAGAACTAACGTGATCAAGGGAAAAACAAAGGTTAAAAATCCAAAGAAGTGTGACACATGACGCATAAGTATTACAAAAAGTGAGAACTAAGATAAAGAGTAAGTGTGACAAATGGGCATGAACAGTGCAGAAACAACTCATGAACACTTGAACAAATTTTCATGTTGCGTGGTGATGTCTGCGGCATTCATACTTTTCATAACAAAAGATATGATGAAGAAAGGAAAAGGACAAGGCTCACCATCCGAGAACAAAAATATATAAATGAATTGCGGAGAATAAACGCTGCCAGAAAAAAAGGCAAAATCGGGAATTTTTCCTTACAATCCAGAACGTACTGTCAGTTTTTGGCAGGTAAATTCTGTGCGCATCTGTAGAACATCAAAACCGCGATGGTTGTAATTACGGCGAGAGTAATCGATCCTATAACAATACTGACCACTAGGACCGGGTGAAGTCCAGTTCCTTTGGCTTGTCTACCAACTGGCAGAATTGAGCCAGACGTGGAAAACGACATGCTACTTGTCTGTGGCAAATCCGTCGTAGCAGTTTGCCCTGTATTAGCATGAAAAGTAGATATTGACACAAAGACCGTGCTAGTTACATTGTATTGCGATGCCTGATGATTGCGAGAGGATGAAACTTTTTAAGCAGCAGCAAACAAGCCTTGATTGCCCATGTTATTCTGCAGCTATAGCGCTAAAAAAACTGATAAGCTCCGTCATTAGTGGAGATTGCACCAACAGCCACCACACAGGACAAACTGGAAGCAGAAGAATGTACAATGTACAATGTCATGAAGGCCATACCTACTTACATGTACATTTCCCTCAGCCCCCCCCCCCCTCCCCCACCCCAACACACAGCAATGACATTGTGACAAATATGGATGGGCCAGTAAGCTAGCAGTGTCCAACGTTTTGTGGATAGTTCCGTCGTGGTGGCTGAGTCTCGCCTTGTTACGTAATTTTCTCATCTTCTATACAGTTTAAAGAGTCGGCGTGGAGAAAGCAATTTTATTAGTGCAATTAGGAGTATAATCGATGCAGACATGGCCAGACAACAACGAGTTCATGGAATTTTTAAGGATTTTTATGTTATTCAAAATCGATTTTCGTGTTCCGCTCATCAGTGAATAGTATCGGAACTGAGGGTACTGCGTACAAAAATAGAACATTTTATAACAGCATAATTAATTAAAAGTGTGAACAACAAAGGAAGTGCTACAGCATTACATAATAGGTGTCAAACATAGTGCTAACCTTTACCTTTGGTGACTACCGAGACGGTGGTCCCCCCGGTGCTGGGATCCACGGTGCCGACTGGGTCTGGACAGAGAGGGAGATCATCGACAAACCAAAATGAAACCAATATCCTCACCCATAGACCCAGAAGAAGCACAGCAAACTATTCACTTGAAATTTATGCACGGAATGGACTTGGCCCACGCAAAATGGACAGTGGAAATGGGTGTGCAGTAGCAGAGAACCCAGCAAAGGTGACGCGGAGCAGCGGTCAAACGACTTGTGATGCTGGTGGAGATGATGGAGCCATGTTGGAGGCTGATAAGGAGTGCAGTGAGACTGAGCATCAAACGGATGATGAGGAAGTGACTGATGATGATGATGGTGGTGGTGGGGACGATGATGATGAAGATGAGACGGAGGACGAGGATAAGGCGGAGGAGGTCGAAGGAAAGGAGCGGGATGAGACGGAAGAGAGCGACGTGAGCAAAAAGTCAGCTGTATTTTGTCACTTGTTATCACGTCCAGATTGTCACTGGGCGGTTTACAGTACTGTTGAGTCAAAAATGTGCAACAAATCTGAGCACAAAACTGACTGATGAGATCATGACATTCGACGACCTGATGCTTAGCTGCATCACGTCTAGAATGCGCAAATCAGCCCCCTTTCTTACGTTACTTCGTAACTGAGAACCTTCCAAGTTGGAAGGCTGCTGGTTTGCGCATTCTAGACGTGATGCAGCTAAGCATCAGGTCATTGAATGTCATGATCTCATCAGTCAGTTTTGTGCTAATTGTTGCACATTTTTGACTCAACAGTATTCTGCTTATAACCGTTAGTGTTGGACAAAACGGATAACTTGTAAACTTTTGGTCCTCTTTTTTAATTTCAATCCTTGGCTCTCCATCCGAACTTAATTATAAAAAAATGATTTGAAGTTTTTTTTGGGGTTTGAAATTCTTTATTTTACACATGCATTTTTCTGATTTCTTCTCCAGTGTATGTTTTATTGCATTTTAAACCATTGTGTTAATTTGCCCGCGAAAGAGGCCCAAAAAAAGAAAAGAAAAAGTGTACTTACAAAATTTTACTGTCAGTCGCCATTTCCCAGTGGGTGGATCCCTAACGACGCATCTCACAGAAAGGCCGCTGGGGATCTTTGACGCAACCAGCCTAAGCGTAATTTGATCCTGCGCCTTCAGTATCTTCGGATCCTCAATGGTGAAGTTGGGAGGCGGGATTACATAAACTTTGGGCCAGTCCACATCCTTCTGAAATGGTTACACAGAGGGGGGGGGGGGGGAGGTGCACTGTTGGGTATGGAACCTTCAAACAAGCAGCATAATATTCAAAGAATTGAACCAGAAATACAAAGCAGAACAAATTCTGTCAAATTCCTGAAGTGCCATACGCGGCAATACTGAATAAGTTCGACACTCTGATCATTTTCAGTTCACAGGGAAAACCCACCTTCAAACTGAGCGGCAACCAGTACGCATGTTCAGTGCAGGTGACTTCAATTACATCATCTTTGCTGTTGTCTTCAACTACCCTCACATCAAAGTTGATCCTTGGAATACTCCCATGCTTATGGTCATGTCTCCTGAATTGAAGGTGATGCTTCGATCTCACCGTTAGAGAACCAGGAGCTCTTGAGAATAAAGACTCTGTACACAAGGAAACACAAATCCATTTATAATTAATCTCTGGGTATCGAAATAGATTGCTTCTGAAATGGCCCTAGTCATCTCGCTGAACCTTCTGCTGGTTGCTGATACAGGTCCTGCCTCATCCGTAGATGACCTTTGGGCCAACACATAGGTTATCTTATAACAAGACCTATCTTGTAACAGAATTTGCAACTCAAGGTGAAGGAAGCACTGATTCGTTCTTACATGTACTACCGAACATAAAATATCGGCACTTCAACTCGTTACTAGATAATTGAAAATCCCCAACGCGGCCGTTCCTTAGATGCAAAACACCGTATTTAGATGGAATACATTGTGTCTTTCGGCTTCGTCATGTGTATTTTGACACATCTGTCCTTCGTGGACAATATCATCTGATACTGAGGGTTCGGCACTCCAGGGACATAGGTCGAGGGTAGTTGCAACGAGTTTTATGCACTAACGGGTATTTTTTGTAACCGCAGGCCTGCCAGAATTGGTCCGGTTGGTCAGGTCATCACCGGACCAACTCGTTGGTCACCACCACATGTCTACTGCTGAGGAGGGTATGTGTGCCCATGCACTATAGCATACACACTATATCATACTTGAAGTGCACAAACTGTATGAAAGGCTATGGTATGGCCGGACCTATCAAAAACTGCTTTCGGTGGTCCTGAATCGGACATGTGAACAGTTGTATATACCATCGCGGCTTCGCCCGGCGATTTCAGATTTGAATTTACTAACGGGGGTCACTGTGTGTGTATTAACCGGACTCACTATAGGAACAAAGAACCTGTACCGTATTCACCCCGGACTCACTATAGGAACAAAGAACCTGTACCGTATTCACCCCGGACTCACTATAGGAACAAAGAACCTGTACCGGATTCACCCCGGACTCACTATAGGAACAAAGAACCTGTACCGTATTCACCCCGGACTCACTATGGGAACAAAGAACCTGTACCGTATTCACCCCGGACTCACTATAGGAACAAAGAACCTGTACCGTGTTCACCCTGGACTCACTATAGGAACAAAGAACCTGTACCGTATTCACCCCGGACTCACTATAGGAACAAAGAACCTGTACCGTATTCACCCCGGACTCACTATGGGAACAAAGAACCTGTACCGTATTCACCATACACACTTCCAATACAAAATAACAACTATCACTTACTTGAGTTGAGCTGTTGGCATGAATGCTGCTCTGGGCCAAAGTACTCAGCAAGATTGAACGTTAGGCTGGGGGATTGTGCACAGCCACCATACTTGGTGGATATCGTTAGAGTGATCGATGCGTTAACTTGGAGCAGTGTGGATTTGGAGCCGCGGACGTACCACGATGCTGTACCGATGCAGTTGCTGGTGTAGTTGGCAGGCTTGGGCTGCCATGATGCGGTTACGCTTGTTCCAGGTAGTGCAATTGTGACATTTTTGTTTACACCGCTGGACGGTGTGCACCTAGTAGTCTGCCATGCTGTATAGCATATTGTAAAGTCTATCTCATCGTAGTTTACTCCTTCTCCGATGGCATATACACCCATCGCTCCTTGCTGACTGTCTCCAAGTTCAACAGCTTTCAGCATACGAATCTTTGGTGCATCTAGTGAAGAGATACAGAGAATAACCTTGGCAATCTCAGGGTATGAGCCGCACACCACTAGGACACTACACCGAAGTAGTTCTGATATGTGTAGGCATCTAACAATGGATGTGCCCACACATTCATACCTACCCATACTATAATATGTACGCCTGTATTTTTTTCTTTACAAAAAACCCACACACCATTTTGACGGCACAAAGCAGCAAGGCAGCATTCTGGACATTCATACACTCATTTTAGCCATGAAACATGCACGGGTTTGTGTATCACCCTAATTTGGCCGTACATGTAGTGGTAGGCTGAGGGGTGTGTTTGGGGAGGGGGGATGAGAGGAATCAATTTTCCTCTGATACGCAGTATGTGCGAATGTGAATGTGTATTTCTTCAGTAGTAAAACTATCCCACCAAACACTTTGAACAGCAGGAGTGCATGGCAGCAACAAACACTTTGAACAGCAGGAGTGCATGGCAGCAACTGTGCCGGGGACAAGTAAAACTATTCCAGAGCAACCGGCTGCAATGATGTCATGAGGCAGCACAATAATTATTATTTCTTGATTTGGTGTTCTCTTTGTGATGAATGAAAGGTTGGCAACAAGACACTCCTGGAATCAAGCAACTCGATCCTTTAGCACTCATACAACGGATTTAGCGGTTTGGCTTCTTCGGAGCAAAAGTCCGTGCCATAGAGGAAGTTTGCCCAAAAGCATCAATTGGATTGTACCATGCGGAACAATATTTGTGCTTGAACTTCGAAGCACATAGAGAATTCTGCGACATTACCTTCATCAGTGCATGCGCCCTTGTCGCCCGCGAAGGTTAGACTGCCATGTGACCACAGTAGGACATTGACCCAGAACAACACCCTACATGCCCTGCACAAGGAATTCCGTACCGCCATACTGGCGCTTCCAGGCGCTCTGTGCTCACTCGCACGGCAGCCCTCCACCATGAGAAAGTTGAGAGTAGCTCTGCTCCGCACTGGCTTGTGGAACCAGTGGGCTAGGTCAAAAATATCACAACGAACCACGGCTTCAAACGATGCGATGGCTTCCAACATCCACGTAACGCATATGCAATGTTTTGCGTTTCGGAAATCCTCCTTTGAACACTCTCCCAGGTCATGCTGCTACCGAACTGCGTGCCCGTCTACTTGTAACAGTCATAACGAAGTCCTGGGAAACAACAGAGACTAACATACCGACACGGAATCTGTAAAACCAAAAAATGCACAAACACGGTGCAGCGGAGAAGAGTGCGTTGCTCCATGATCCAGGTTGCCGGAGAGAAGTATGCGCGTGGTGTTTTTTCATGAGTGTGGCTGTGGCCCAGTGTGGGTATCCACGCTTTTAGTTTTAGAGATGGTGGAGTGGTAATCATACTACTCACCATCCGCTTTCAGTCTGTGACTTGGTACCTAGAGCCTCATCATCTTCATTATGCATGAGCCATGTGACCACAGAGCATCGCGCGATCGATCGAGTCAGGCTGCACTGGGCAACATGAATTCCATGAATCATGATAACCAGTGAATGAAGCTGGCTACATCGTATGCAATAAACTCTACATGACATCGTAGAGACAATTATTTTTGGCACGCTCCTGGCCCTATAGCCCTAGACTACTAGTCGTATCCACCGCTTGTCAAGCATCGAGGTGCTACACGACCAGTCGTGTGCATGCCGCCGGAGACTACAAGTACAATAGGCGTAAGTGCGGATTCCTCCTGGGCATGGGACGATGCCACCCATCACGACTATCCCCCCGGACCCGCCTGCATACATGCACATCATTACAATCATGTACTTGTCTTTGACGTACATCGTCATCGTTTGCTTGAGGTCTTCAAAGTCCAGGACATGCCTTTGAAGCCTGAATTACCCGCAGATACAATGTACACGTAGATCTACTGTACGTGTACAAGCAATGTTGCTACATGTAAATCCTTGCACAGGTGCATGCTCAATATCCATCTGCAGCCGGGCTATTGCCGCGCCTGTGTTGTCTCGCGCCTCTCCTATGCCTATGCCTATGGTGTAACCCTAGTGCATGCCCGGCAGTGGCTAGTGGGTTACCAGGTTACCACGGCAATAGTTTTGCTGTACTGTACTGAGTCAGAGTGTGTAGTCGGTGGTAACGAGAACGTGCGACCTTTTCTCCACAAAGTCTTTACTTACCACTGGCACTTCAATTGAGTGTTCTACTTATTTCCGAAATTGGGTTGTCTTTTTGCTTTGACTCTTATTTCATGGTTTTACGCGAAGGGCCCAGTTGATGTTGTGAATAAAACCGTTCTCTCGGTACATGGTACCATCATGTTGTCAAGCTTTTTTGTTCAATCTTACACTGCAAATGAGTGTTCTATTTATTTACCGAATTTCGGCTGTCTTTTTTTACTTTGACTCTTACTTAAAAGTTTGAGGCAATTGTCTTTGTGAGTAAAAAATGAAAATGAAATGCAGTGAAATAGCACTGAAATTGGCAGAACCATACAAACCTTATAGCGGGCAATTCCTCGAATTCTGCTCCATTTCTTTATCCACATACCAAACATGCATGAAACGTACCAGAAAAAGCACCGAATTCTGCCAATTTTTTCTGCCGGCAGAATCCGCCGGTGCCTAGTACATGCTAGATGTATGATTGGTGTCTGAGATGAATACTGGTACCCATGAAGCTCTGAGCAACAACATTGTTTATAGATCATTGGCTCTCCACCCGAGTCTAACAACCATAAATATTGTTTCAACTTCGTTCCACTGCTAACGTGTGTGCATCTACTACCGGTGCATTGTTTTTATTTTGCAAAACTAATAATTATTCGGTGTAGAGGACGCAACTAGTACAGTGCATGCATACACCTGACCTATTAATTATTTGGGAATGGACGAACGCTGTCCGGCTGCACATCATGACATTGTGTAGTCATGTGTAGCATTACTGTAGACATTTGCAGTACAGTAGCTAGGGGTAGCTTGAAGATCGTGCAGTCTTGTTTTGTGTGTTTGCTGACATCTTGACAATCTTGGTGGAAGGTGCCCGAGACTAGCCCCTTCAGCAGTGCAGTTTGTCAGCTTTGGCAGCAGCGGTATGTATCATGTATAGTGGGTAGGATGATACGTGATCCACAGGACCACACACTACACTGTAGACAGTGTAGTAGGAGCAACACCTGAACACAGGGTCCTGACTAGTGTAGTGTACTGTGCTAGTAGTAGTGACTAGTGTACTGTCTGTGCTAGTAGTAGTGACTAGTGTACTGTGCTAGTAGTAGTAGTGTACTGTGCTAGGAGTAGGAGGACAGCTGTGCCTGTACAGTCAGTAGGGTGGCTAGGGCAATGTACATAAGTCATTGTAGCTGCAGACTTCACTTCCGCATGCCTGACGGTGATGGAAGACAGGGAAAGGTGCGCTAAGACGATTATGCAGTGTCACAGGGTGATATTTGTCTAGATCATGATTCATGACCGACGGTGATGGAAGACAGGGAAACGTGCGCTAAGAGTAAAAAGACGATTATGCAGCGCCACAGGGTGATATTTGTCTAGATCATGATTCATGACCGATACCATATACACCTCCCGCAATCACAAGTCAGTTGACCGATGACTCGGCGCCAGGCCTTGGCGGATAATGCTCGACATTTGGCAGATTCTGCTCGAAAAGCAGTGAAATTGACAAAATCCAACAACCGCTATGACAGGCACTTATTTCAATTCTGCTCCATTTCTTTATCTACCTACCAAACATGCATGAAACATACCAGAAAAAGCACCAAATAATAATTATGCCATTTTTCTGCCAACATTTATATCCGCTAAGGGCTAACCTGCGTCAGGGTTAACGACTCCGCTCGTGCATGCATGTACATGTACACTTCAGTACATGAAGAGAACTGGATAGTGGCACCTGCATGTTACCTTGCCCAGCACTAAACAAACAAGGCAAAAATAGCCGTTCTGATCATTCTTGGAATGTAACTTGCACAATGGCTTTCTCTGCATGAATGTAGGGAATTGCAATGTAGCAGCTAATCACAAAAGCAAGAGAGTTCCAGATGCTAAAAGATAAGCTGGACCACGTATAGATAGCTTCCCTCAAAGATAATGCCGGAAATCAATGGTTAGAGGGAAACTGCTAAGACCACAACCTCGATTTCAGAAGGAAACTAATAATGGCCTAAGATGAAGAGCCAAGGATGAATTTATAGCAAAGAAAAGGACCAAGGAACTGCAAATTGGGCTGTAATGTCGATGACGATACTGGCAAGACCATTGGACAGTACCGTCAAACCAGGATTCAAGGACGCAAAGCATACCATACAACTTGTGTGACTCTTCAAGAGACACATACGTTGTGTGCTAGGTTGCTTTGCATCCGTGAATCGTGATTTGACCAAGTATTGTCCAATGGTCTTGCCAGTATCGTCATCGACATGCATGTACATCCGCCAACGTCCTTCACAGCTGAAACGTTCAGCTTGTGCTTGTCTTGATTGCGCGCACCTTCCCCTCCTATGTTATTACTCTTAGAACCATCTAAGTTGAAAGGCGATTGGAGACTGAGCTCTTCCAAGACGTGGCACTGGCAGACCTGATTAACAGCTACTACGGTACGTGTAGAACCTCAACACCGTCGGTTAGTATCGTGCATTATGTTATTACATGAGCTGATTGTCAAGTAACGGGTGGTGTCAGCGGACATTCAGGCGTAACTTGTAGTTATTTGGTCCCTTTCTTATAAAGTAATCCGGCCTAGTACTTGTAGTAGGTATTTTAGGTACATGATTACATCAGTAGTAGAGATTCTTTTTAAATTAATATAAAGATTATTACGGAGTGGCAGCTAGCGTAAGTAAAATCGCCGACTCACGTTGTATACTGTACTTTTAAACGACCCCATAATGCAATCCACTGGCCCACAAGGCCACAACCATGAAAGTACTTGCATATTCTCTAATACTCGTACAGTCAGTTTCTTCATTTTACTTCTCAACAAGCGAGCAGTGAACTTTCCCGCTCGGCACGGGCTTTTTTTCCCGAGCCTGAGCAGAGCGAATAACTTTGTGTAAAGGATTTCAAGGCAAGAATTGGAGGCGTATCCAATTTCGAGAAGTGTCAGCACCGGCGCGATCCACACAGTCAAGTCAAGCCAATTTAGTAACAGAACATTTTTGTAACCGAACGTTTTCGTTCGGTTTTCGTTCGGTTACTAAATTGTCTTTACTTGACTGTGAGGATTGCATCAGTGCTGACACTTCATTCGGAAACGTTCATACGTTTTTCTTCAATTTCACGATTCGAGTGAGACTCAGCTTATCCATGTACATGTAGGTGAGTAGATCAGACCCACCACCAAGTTGTCAAAGACCAAAATTCTCATTCACTGCATCCATATTTACCTCATGTCAGGCCACAAGTTCCCAACTAACTGGGCAGCATGCCTAGAAAAATTCCTAAGGCAAAAATCCTTCTGTTGGTAGAACATGCTTAGCTATGTGATTCATTACATCATCATTTTTAATCAAAGATATTGTGAATGTTGACGTCATTATTACAAAAGGCTATATTATGGATGATTTGAAATGGGAATTGGATAAAGTAAACCATGTAAACTACCAGGGATCTAGGGAAGCGAACAGCCAGAAAAGTGAAACAACAAAAAATATACAAATAATCTACGTGGAGATAAAAGTTTAATAATAGCTATGAAAAGTATGAATGCCGCAGACATCACCACGCAACATGACAATTTGTTCAAGGTTTGGTTTTGTGTGTTTCCAAAATCGATTTTCAAGCTCCGATCATCAGTGGAAATACAGAACTAACATGATCAAGGGAAAAACAAAGGTTAAAAATCCAAAGAAGTGTGACACATGATGCGTAAGTATTACAAAAAGTGAGAACTAAGATAAAGAGTAAGTGTGACAAATGGGCATGAACAGTGCAGAAACAACTCATGAACACTTGAACAAATTGTCATGTTGCGTGGTGATGTCTGCGGCATTTATACTTTTCATAACAAAAAATATGATGAAGAAAGGAAAAGGACAAGGCTCACCATCCGAGAACAAAAAATATATAAATGAATTGCGGAGAATAAACGCTGCCAGAAAAAAGGCAAAATCGGGAATTTTTCCTTACAATCCAGAACGTACTGTCAGTTTTTGGCAGGTAAATTCTGCGCGCATCTGTAGAACATCAAAACCGCGATGGTTGTAATTACGGCGAGAGTAATCGATCCTATAACAATACTGACCACTAGGACCGGGTGAAGTCCAGTTCCTTTGGCTTGTCCGCCAACTGGCAGAATTGAGCCAGACGTGGAAAACGACATGCTACTTGTCTGTGGCAAATCCGTCGTAGCAGTTTGCCCTGTATTAGCATGAAAAGTAGATATTGACACAAAGACCGTGCTAGTTACATTTTATTGCGATGCCTGATGATTGCGAGAGGATGAAACTTTTTAAGCAGCAGCAAACAAGCCTTGATTGCCCATGTTATTCTGCAGCTATAGCGCTAAAAAATTGATAAACTCCGTCATTAGTGGAGATTGCACCAACAGCCACCACACAGGACAAACTGGAAGCAGAAGAATGTACAATGTACAATGTACAATGTACAATGTCATGAAGGCCATACCTACTTACATTTTACATCCTGTTACTAGCTCGACGGTGCGTTCCACTTTGCCGAGCTTGTTCTCGATCTTACATGTGACTATTGTACCTGGCTGAAGATGACTGGTCGAATTGAAGGTTTTGGTCAGGTTTCTTGTAACACTGGTTATAGAAGATTCTTCGGATTCACCTGGCTTGCTCCAACTGAGGCGTATCTGTTGTCATGAACACATTGAAGTAATAATGAATAATGCCTGATTTATAATGCTTGCACTTTTTTTGCCCACAAAACTGTTTTCTGATGATCGGTTAGTGTGTTAAAACATTTTTTCGTCCTCTCATTGTTTGAACGGCATATAACTACATTATTAAATAAATAAAATAAAATAAATACATGTATATGGTACTGTGATATAAGATTTTCAAATTTTGTATACACAAAACGAGGACGAAATTGCGCCTTCTCTGCGATACTTTCCAGGCCTCTATCAACGTCAGACTTTGTGCCAGAGTAGTATGCAGAGAGAAACGTTTGTCACAGGCATACTTGGGCAATAACCACACCATTAACAAAATGACAGGGGAGGGGGGGGGGAGCTCGCGCCAACCGTGTATCAAAGAAAATGTAACAGAGAATACATTCAATTCAACCCAGGTTCTCACATGATCAATAGGCCACGGCAGTCTAGCAAGGTAGGAAAGATTTTTTAAATAGCCCCGTGGTCGGACAAGAATTCCCATTGAAGCTTCACAGCTACACTAACTTGAAACATTGCACTTGCATGTAAGATATACCTCTGGAGTGGGGTGTGTTGCCATGTCCGCAGTGCATGAGAGATTGATCACACTGGTATCGCTTGACCAGTCGGTCATGTTTAAAATACTGGGATTGGTATAATCGTCCATCACCACCCGCAGACGGTGCTGGACATGCATTGATCCTTCCACATATGCTCCTGCTCCCCTCATTTCAATCCACGCTGACCTTGGTCTCATTTCTGCAAATAAATACAGGCAACAGAAACACACAACATTTCCTTAAACACACCCATGCCTCGGATCCTTCGCAGGACAATAACTTACGCCACATATTAGTTGAAATGTGTGGACCGGGTTATCCATTATCACTTTGTCGTCCAACTACAAGTAAGTCTATTTCATTTCAGGTTTATCATGCAACAGGTCACGGTTATTAAGTAAATTTGAAACGTCACCACCACCAGTGCATGTTGCCGCCTCTTGGGGGACGGAAAATCGAAAATCGCCATGCAAACAGGCTTGAAACAGCCAACCAGCACAGTGACTGAATCATAATAAGGGCATAGCTCACTCTGTTGTTGATACTGAGACCTATTGCCGCCCAGTACATACATGTAGCTGTTGGACTTGAGGTATGTTGCTCGGAATTCAACAGGTTTTGGTTCATTGCCGAATGCACTGCCACTATACTGTACCATTACGCTCACTGTTGGCTGGCCACTCTCATGGGTTCAGAGGTTATAGACCTGGGAGCACACAACAGTCCTCAGCACTTGTTCTTTGCCTACTTCGGCTGCACTGACTTGTTTCGGTCTGAAGTTTGAAGGATTTGCCACACTGTAAACAAATTCGATGGTATCTGAGGTATTCCCCATCATTGCCATGGAGTAGTAATCCGGAAGTGTTTACACTCTGTCAGGCCTAATGCCGCATCAAAGATTTGATGATATCAGATGTGGATTATGTTCTGCAGATGGCAAGTGTTGAGCTAGTGAGGAAAGGGTGAACTCCCACATCTACAGTTCGACACGGTATACCATGGTATACAGCTGGCTTTCATGCATATCACTTGTATACATCATTGCTGGGGTGCTCATGTGAGCTGTGTTAGAGTCACTCTATTCTCAATTTCACAACTACATTCAATGTATTGGCAAGATAACTGTTGCTACCCTCCTGTACTCCAGCAACTTCCCTGCTTGTCAACATCATTAAAGCTCACCTGGCAGAGATCTGTATATTGATCCGTCAAGAGCAGCACCGAAAGTAAACGCAAGCTTGACTATTTTCTTGGCTCCCGGTACTATACTGGGTAACCGTAAGATGAATGTGTCGTTTCGGCTTACTCCGCCGCTTTGCAGCGTTTTTGTCTGAATATTCCATGTTGCAATGCCATACTGATGTCCCTCGTACTGGTATTGCTGGCCTGCAGTCCAGGAGAAGAAGATCTTGACTGGGTCATCTGCATTGTGAACAGGCAGGTCTGCGTATGTCGTGCTTCCCGTCAGTTTCTTCTGACAGCGCGACGCATGGCTTAGCAAGTTCATCCTTACACAGGCCGTGATTTCAGTCAGAGGCTCCCCGAAAACGTGCAGAACAATCTTGGTATCGGTGGTGTTCCCTCCTGGCCGATCCTTGACCCATGCTTCCTGAACCGTCAAACTAGGTGTACCTGATCAACACACACACACACACACACACACACACACACACACACACACACACACACACACACACACACACACACACACACAGACACACACACACATACACATACACATACACACACACACACACACACACACACACACACATACACACACACACATATAATAATCTATACAGACTAGTACACAGAGCATGGCAGTCAGTTGCACCTAGCATGAAGGAGACAGGACGGGAACGGAAAGCATAACCAAAAAATCTGCCTCTGCATGACACCTAACAATAGACCAATCTCGAAAAGATTGTCTGGGTTCGAAAGGGGGCACGCCAGCTGACTGGGCAGGCGTGATCACATTGTCCAGGTCGGTAAGGCATTATGCAGGGATTATACATGTATTCAGCGCGGGACAATTAGAATAATCACATTTTTGTTTTGCTCTATTTTCCCCTTCTTTCACTTTTATTTTTCCATATAAGAATGGCGGTATTTTCAAGTGCATATAAGATTTGTTTCAATGATGCAGACAGCCAGACTGTTTCGGCCAATGAGGCCTCATCAGTGCAACTCCGAGCTTGAAATAGGATTGAACTGCCAGCCATGGCTACGAGAACCACAGACATTAGGACAGCTCGATGTACTAGCGCTGAGAGTGCTCAAACTACTAGAAGCAGCGGGCAAAGCATAAAGCTAACCAGCGCAAGTGCGTCCTATTAAGAGTGCTCTACAAGATCGAAATCGAGGAGCGAAATACTCAATGATGCAGACAGCCAGACTGTTTCGGCCAATGAGGCCTCATCAGTGCAACTCCGAGCTTAAGATTTGTTTCAAGTAATCCCCATTCCATTGTAACGTAGATTCACTGATGGATGTAACAAGAAAATAGTTCTGAACAAATCCTCTCTTTCCCTTTCGTTGTGTGCCTTGCGATCATCGATTCACATTTTACTCATACACGTGGACATTTAGGAAATTAATGCTTACAGTCCAACTAGTCGTCTGTGTCGCTATATTCAAACTGCTGTCTCCGAAACTCTTGACTCTTGTTTATTTATGTAGTTTATTTTCACTTACGTCCTGCTCTTAGCTCGACCGTGCGTTCCGCTTTGCCGAGCTTGTTCTCGATCTCACAGCTCAGTAGTATGCCTGGCTGAAGATATCCACCTGGAGGTAAAGGTATGGTCAGATTTCTTGTGACGCTGACTTCAGAGTCACTGAACACTTCTGGCTTGCTCCAACTCAACCGCACCTGTTGTCATGAACACGTCGAAGACAAAGGATAATTTGGTATACTGTTCTTCCGCAGATTTAGGAATTAATTTCAATGCGGGTACATTTACGTCTTGTAGCATAAAATGGAGAAGTAAAAGAAGAACAGGTCTAAAGTTTACTCTACTAAGGGGCCATCCGGAATTATCGATATTTTTCGCGAAACGAAAAAGTTTAGTTATGACCCTCCCCCACCCACCCACCCCTATGAACGAAAAATATATTGACTTGACAGCCAGAATGGACTGATGTTTCAGCTATCAATATTTCATAACGAAACTCTCTTCAGCCCACCCACCCATATCCATGGAAGATACTTTTCTCTTCGTGAAAAGGATCGATAATTACGGATGGCCCTTAAGCTATCACGCGTGCACGACTCACCAGAAACTGCAACAAGAACTTCGATTTTGATCCCGAAACCAACAATGCAGTTACATGAGCAAGAGCATTAGCAATCCAACACTAAACTACTTGCACATGTGCTTGGTTACGAGAGGGGGAAGCACTATTCAAGAGAGAGCATTCTCTAGACTAGATGCTGCACTATTCGAGAAAGAAATCAAAGGGTATAATCAAGCCAGTAAAAAATAAATAAATAAAAAGTAAAATATCGTGTCCGTTCCCGAAGGGAACTCACGACGGCCGCTAACACCCGGTAAACCCTAGCCAGTACGGTATATGAAAGGAATAATGTCATACACACCTCTGGGGTGGGGTATGTGGCCATGTTCGGCGTACAAGATATGCTGATGGCAATGATATTGCTTGACCAGCCCACCAGGTAGACAATCTTCGGATCTGTCTCATCATCCATCGCAATGGGTAGGTGTTGCTGGACAACCGACGATCCCTCCACATACGCTGTTGCCCTTGCTTCAATCCATGCAGAAATTGGTTGTATTTCTGTGGACAGTGCAATCAGTGTTAGTCACGAACAGAAGCAATGACATTGAACATTGTTGGCTTTTGCATTTTGGTAAAATCTTTTTATCTCAAGATCATCACTCGGCCGAATGATAATGAACACAACTAGCATGAAACTTAGAGTAGCAACACATTGTGTTGCAACGAGTTTTGTTGCAACTCGGAGTTTCATGCTTAGCACTCCTCATCTCAGGCAACATGAATCACTCCAAAGTCGAACAAAATAGAAGGCTCTGAACGTTCTACAAGCACCCCACCAACTGTTCCATTTCAGACGGAAACTTCTAACTATTATTATAGTTGCCTGATGCTCGTCGTAATAACGTTACATGAAACTGAGAGTTGCGATACAGCTTCCAATCTCTCTCTTGTGTATTATTATAGTTAGAAATTCAACTGGGTTTACAAAACTAGAACAGGTATGCCATGAACAGGTATGCCATGGCACATTTCATGGGAAACAAAGGTAAGTAGTTACTGAGTAGATGTAGCAGCATTCGGCCTTGTGCAGATTACATGTACCGGTACATGTATTGTATAATCTAATACTAGTTCAAAACCAGTATGAGATAAGCCCTGTTATAGTTCACGCATATTGTTAGATTGACAGCATGAAACAAGGTGGAGGACACTGTGTTCGGAAACAGTGGCCTTACTACAACCTTCCGCGGTTGGCAGAGCCCCTGTCCCTGCGGACCATTTGAACCACATGGGTGTTGAACCCGGTTCTAAACCCTCATTATGCTAGGGGAGTTTTAGACTTCTCCTTACGTCCGTCGTGTATTCTTTGATCGCTCCTGGATGTCGTCCTGGTAGTCATGTAGATACTTTTAAAACCTGAACTTTTTTGAAACTTCTTTTCTTCCAACTTCTGCCCATGGCGTCCTTCTCTCAGCTCGTCAGCTGTCAACAGTTCCTGCCACCACCATGACACTATCGCGAGAAGGTGCTCTCTATAGACGGGGTTGGTGATGTACCGACGCGGCCATGGGTAGGCCTTGACAAGATAATGAACATACAGGTTAGTCCCCAGCTGTACCAAAGAATGTAACCAACGTGTAGCAAAAATGAGGCACTAGCAATTGCTCAGGTTTTTTGTACATTCAAATCTTCTTGACCAATACCAGTTTACGTAACAAGATCAACAAACAAGTGATTTACAAACAAAACTAGTTGACGTGACCAACGTGTAGCCGGGGTGTTACGACGTGGTGAAGGCCTACCAATGGCCGCGTCGGGACGTCACCAACCCCGCCTATAGAGAGCACCTTCTCGCGATAGTGTCATGGTGGTGGCAGGAACTGTTGACAGCTGACGAGCTGAGAGAAGGACGCCATGGGCAGAAGTTGGAAGAAAAGAAGTTTCAAAAAAAGTTCAGGTTTAAGTAGCTACATGACTACCAGGACGACATCCAGGAGCGATCAAAGAATACACGACGGACGTAAGGAGAAGTCTAAAATTCCCCTAGCATAATGAGGGTCAGAACCGGGTTCAACACCCATATGGTTCAAATGGTCCGCAGGGACAAGGGCTCTGCCAACCGCAGAAGGTTGTAGTAAGGTCACTGTTTCCGAACACAGTGTCCTCCACCTTGTTTCATGCTGTCAATCTGACAGATTGCATATAGCAGCATTCGGCCAGCGAGACTACTCTAAGCGAATGAAGTGTAGTAATGATAGGTCTAAACCTACAAAGCCCGGACTTCAACTCCCCATGGTCTACAAGGCAAGTTGTGCTTCTTGTTCCGGACCTTGGAGATGTCATCTGAGGAATTTGGTAGTCTGGAAGCTGTCATCAGGGACCGCCTCATTCCAGCCCTCGCTGGTCGACTCCCTCCGTCCAGTGTGGAGCGACATATGCTCTCGTTCGCTTGTCGGGATGGCGGTTTGGGCTTCTCGATTCCCACCGCCCAATCTCACCACGGCACTATGCACACTCCCGAGCTGTTACTAATGAGCTCAGGGAAACGATCGTTAAGGCAGATCCCTCGCTAGTTGGTGTGGCAGACGTACCAAGACCGCCAAACGTCAAGTCCGCACTGCGGCTCGGGCATCACAGCAACAGCTGAAGGAGGGGTTTGTGGGTTTGTGAGCGGTGAAGGCGCAGTACATGCGGCTCAGCTTGAACTTGCTTCCGTGCGTGGTAGCTCTGCTTGGCTGACGAAATCGCTAGCAATTTGTTCTTCGCTGCTGCCCCCAACCACACGTTGATGCGCTCACCACCCTCCGATGTCCCTAACCTCACTGCTTCCCTCTCTCTCTCTGTGTGTCTCTCTATCTCTCTCCCCCTTTCTCTCTCTCTCTCTCTCTCTCTCTCTCTCTCTCTCTCTCTCTCTCTCTCTCTCTCTCTTGATGTAGCTCTCTCCCCGTAGCTCTCTACCCTTGAAATTCGCTTCCATAGAATTGGGCACCATTGCCCGTTTGGCCTTGCGAAGTAAAATAAAAATCAACAACAACAAAAATGTCACGTCCTCTATCCTGTCATGGCTTTCGTCTCTCCAAGTCTGAGTTTAGAGATGCTCCGTGTTTGCGCTATGGCTGGGTGCCGGAGCATTTGCTGTCATCCTGCATCTGTGGCGACGCGCGCTTTGACGTTTCCCACGCGTTATCCTGCCCCTCCTCCCTTCCCCTGTCTTATCCTTCTCACACATCATGTGAAACCTGACATGCTCCAATATGTCTGCTTTGGACTACTGAACTACATACATGTAATGTACTCTGTTCATCTTCTCTGTTTCACAGGATCTGACCTATTCAAAATATTCTTCATATCTTGTAAGAGCCAGGCCAATGGTCTGGTGAGAAGGTATCAATCCTGTTCTTTTGAAGAAGCAACATCATAATATCATAGTACTTCACTTAACCATTACACAAATTCTGACCTTTGATCTTGAGTTGGATTGGCACATTGCTTATTGGGGGAAGGGTTACAAAAGGTTGACGGCTAAAGCTCAGCATACATTTCCACCAGCCAGCAGTCACGTCATTGACAATAACAGGGAATGTTGCTCGATTGTGCGAAGCATGGCGATTGTACTGCAGATTGTGCTCAATACACTGCACTGCCCAATTTGTTTCGCTTAAGTCTAGGTTGAGCTTCCTGAGCTTGCACCAAACGGGGAAGAGATCATGTTGCGAATGGCAGGTGATATTCTGTATGTCTCCGTATTCCCCAATGTAGTACGATTTGGGCAATCCCTCCTTGAAGTAGTACTCTGCAACAGGTAATGGCATGTCACAAGGACATAGCTTCTCATAAGCAACATGCATACAATGGTGTATAGGGGGGGGGGGGGGTAGTACGAGTGTGCATGCATGAAGCCATGCAGAGGGTTATGAGACAGGTCACTAGTTTTTAAATGACCTTTGTGCATGTATGCATACATGTGCTTGACTTTGTCCAGCAAGTTCCATCTAGCATAGGCTCTAGTCAAAGAGTTGGTGGACAAGCCGTTGATTATTCACTCTCATTGTAATATCAAAAAAGTATTCTTTCTAGACCAAAGAGTGGTATATTTGATAACATTTAATAACGATAGAAATATTTACGATACTTCTCCAGACGTTTCGTTGTTCTGAACAACATCGTCAGTGGATAAAGAATCTTTATCCTTTTTCTTTATCCACTGACGATGTTGTTCAGAACAACGAAACGTCCTTATTCTTTATCCACTGACGATGTTGTTCAGAACAACGAAACGTCTGGAGAAGTATCGTAAATATTTCTATCGTTATTAAATGTTATCAAATATACCACTCTTTGGTCTAGAAAGAATACTTTTTTGACATAGGCTCTAGGTTCCATCTAGCATAGGCTCTAGCTTCCATCTAGTATAGGCTCTAGGCTATCTAGCATGCATTCTTGAAAAAACTTCGTGATTTTCGGTACAACTGTGGGCTAGACAATCTGCTATGGGCTATTCCTAGTAGTTGTGGCCTCAGTTGCTGAGAGGTTTATGTCTGGTGGTCTTGCACAGGGTTGGGTTGGGCATGCAATTGCCATGATGGCCAACATGGCTACAAACATATTATAGATAGTTACAAGCTGTACATGCGCATGCCTGAATGAAACTTGCTTTTGAAAGCAGGTTTGCGTTTTATGGGTGCTGGTGTTCCTACGGACGCGAAAACGCCGTGCGACGAGTCTATACACGAATCATGAAATATAAATAATGTTTTTAAAATTCATACACTTCTTTCTACGTACAGCCACAAGCGTTAAAACACATGTCAACTCACGTTTTTGCTCAAGTGTAACATTTGCTTGGAGCTGGAGGGAAGGAAAGGACGCCTTGCACACGTATACTCCTATGTCTTGGTCTGTTGAAGAATCGATCTGAACCACAGACAGCCATCCATTCTTTCCCGTTTCTTTGAACGATGCGGCGAGTTGCTGTGTATTCTTTGTCAAGGCACTTGTGTTGCCGTTCAAACTCCACTCCAGAACAGGAACAACGCTCTCGTTGTACGGATTAGGATGAACTGCGCACACAAGGCAAAGCTTCTCGCCGATGTGAAAGCTCATCCAATCCGTATCCCTGTTCGTCTGTATCGAGATTCCTGATGGCCAGGACTTGGCTGTACAGAAGCAATACCAAGATTCCACCTATAGTCAATACATGACTATAAGTCGAGTAAAGCTTGTTGAGCCTGAATAGAGATGTCGTGTCATAATTATACTTCAGTACAATGTACTGAAGTATAATTATGTATACGCAAATACATTATCCGCCGACTGCTGTATGTGGTAACGTTAGAAATCAGGGACATTCCTTCCAAGGCTTCCATGCACTTACATGTACCTATACAGTATAATACTTAGGAGAGTAAACAGCTGTTTTGTAGATGGAGAACAATGTTTAGTAGATTTCTGTACAATTCTCGGTGATGAATGGATGGACGACAACGCGACCATCCAGAAATTCAAGCAACAATAATAATAATATTGTTCAAAGGATCAGTTGGGGAGTGAACTGCCTGAAAAGAGAAGAAAAGGCCAGCCCCACCAGGACTTGAACCCGTTCCTGGTGGGGCCTTGCTTGTCATGAGCAGTGCTCTAACCATCTGAGCTATGGGAACAAAGCCACCAGACCGAAACTAGAAGTTGGCATATTCGTCTCTTTACTAGTTTGAGGGAAAGACACAAACATGCAATCAACAATTTTAGTAGTGGTTTGCCTTCTTCGGAGCAAAGAGGTCCAGCATGCCTTGGAAGAGGCTTTCACTGCAGAGTGCAGCCTCACTGGGACTGAGTGCTATGTAACACTCCCCGAGCCGCTATTAAATTTAGATGCACTTCGAGAATTCACATCAAGTTACCTTGGTCAGTATATGTGCCCTGGTCGCCCGCGAAGGTTAGACTGCCGTGTGACCGCAGTAAGACATTGACCCAGAACAACACCCTAAATGCCCCGCAGAAGGCATTCCGTACCGCCATACTGCCGCTGCCAGGCGCTCTTTGCTCACTCGCACGACAGTCCTCCACCATGAGAAAGTTGAGAGTAGCTCTGCCCTGCGCTGGCTAGGGGAACCAGTGGGAATGGCCGAGAATATCACCACGAATGAATTCTGGTTTCTTGAACTTTGAATCCTGGATGTGATGGCTTCCAAGTCACCCATGCAACGCATGGAGTGCTTTGTGTTTCTTCCCCTGAACACTCTGTTTTATTGGCCGTACGCGTACTGTTGCCAAAATGCAGATGGCAAGTGTTGAGCTAGTGAGGAAAGGGTGAACTCCCACATCTACAGTTCGATACGGTATACCATGGTATACAGCTGGCTTTCATGCATATCACTTGTATACATCATTGCTGGGGTGCTCATGTGAGCTGTGTTAGAGTCACTCTATTCTCAATTTCACAACTACATTCAATGTATTGGCAAGATAACTGTTGCTACCCTCCTGTACTCCAGCAACTTCCCTGCTTGTCAACATCATTTAAAAAGCTCACCTGGCAGAGATCTGTATATTGATCCGTCAAGAGCAGCACCGAAAGTAAACGCAAGCTTGACTATTTTCTTGGCTCCCGGTACTATACTGGGTAACCGTAAGATGAATGTGTCGTTTCGGCTCACTCCGCCGCTTTGCAGCGTTTTTGTCTGAATATTCCATGTTGCAATGCCATACTGATGTCCCTCGTACTGGTATTGCTGGCCTGCAGTCCAGGAGAAGAAGATCTTGACTGGGTCATCTGCATTGTGAACAGGCAGGTCTGCGTATGTCGTGCTTCCCGTCAGTTTCTTCTGACAGCGCGACGCATGGCTTAGCAAGTTCATCCTTACACAGGCCGTGATTTCAGTCAGAGGCTCCCCGAAAACGTGCAGAACAATCTTGGTATCGGTGGTGTTCCCTCCTGGCCGATCCTTGACCCATGCTTCCTGAAGTGAAAAACTAGGTGTACCTGATCAACACATACACACACACACACACACACACACACACACACACACACGCATACACAAACACACACATCTATTATAAATCTATACGCAGACTAGTACACAGAGCATGGTAGTCAGTTGCACCTAGCATGAAGGAGACAGGACGGGAACGGAAAGCATAACCAAAAACCTCTGCCTCTGCAATGACCAATCTCGAAAAGATTGTCTGGGTTCGAAAGGGGGCACGCCAGCTGACTGGGCAGGCGTGATCACATTGTCCAGGTCGGTAAGGCATTATGCAGGGATTGTCATGTATTCAGCGCGGGGCAATTAGAATAATCACATTTTTGTTTAGCTCTATTTTCCCCTTCTTTCACTTTTATTTGTCCATATAAGAATGGCGGTATTATCAAGTGCATATAAGATTTGTTCCAAGTAATCCCCATTCCATAGTAATGTAGATTCACTGATGAATGTAACAAGAAAATATTTCTGAACAAATCCTCTCTTTCCCTTTCGTTGTGTGCCTTGCGATCATCGATTCACATTTTACTCATACACGTGGACATTTAGGAAATTAATGCTTACAGTGCAACTAGTCGTCTGTGTCGCTATATTCAAACTGCTGTCTCCGAAACTCTTGTTTATTTATGTAGTTTATTTTCACTTACGTCCTGCTCTTAGCTCGACCGTGCGTTCCGCTTTGCCGAGCTTGTTCTCGATCTCACAGCTCAGTAGTATGCCTGGCTGAAGATATCCACCTAGAGGTAAAGTTATGGTCAGATTTCTTGTGACGCTGACTTCAGAGTCACTGAACACTTCTGGCTTGCTCCAACTCAACCGCACCTGTTGTCATGAACACGTCGAAGACAAAGGATAATTTGGTATAATGTTCGTCCGCAGATTTAGGAATTAATTTCAATGCGGGTACATTAAACGTTATGTAGCATAAAATGGAGAAGTAAAAGAAAAACAGGTCTAAAGTTTACTCTACTAAGGGGCCATCCGGAATTATCGATATTTTTCGCGAAACGAAAAAGTTTAGTTATGACCCTCCCCCACCCACCCACCCCTATGAACGAAAAATATATTGACTTGACAGCCAGAATGGACTGATGTTTCAGCTATCAATATTTCATAACGAAACTCTCTTCAGCCCACCCACCCATATCCATGGAAGATACTTTTCTCTTCGTGAAAAGGATCGATAATTACGGATGGCCCTTAAGCTATCACGCGTGCACGACTCACCAGAAACTGCAACAAGAACTTCGATTTTGATCCCGAAACCAACAATGCAGTTACATGAGCAAGAGCATTAGCAATCCAACACTAAACTACTTGCACATGTGCTTGGTTACGAGAGGGGGAAGCACTATTCAAGAGAGAGCATTCTCTAGACTAGATGCTGCACTATTCGAGAAAGAAATCAAAGGGTATAATCAAGCCAGTAAAAAATAAATAAATAAAAAGTAAAATATCGTGTCCGTTCCCGAAGGGAACTCACGACGGCCGCTAACACCCGGTAAACCCTAGCCAGTACGGTATATGAAAGGAATAATGTCATACACACCTCTGGGGTGGGGTATGTGGCCATGTTCGGCGTACAAGATATGCTGATGGCAATGATATTGCTTGACCAGCCCACCAGGTAGACAATCTTCGGATCTGTCTCATCATCCATCGCAATGGGTAGGTGTTGCTGGACAACCGACGATCCCTCCACATACGCTGTTGCCCTTGCTTCAATCCATGCAGAAATTGGTTGTATTTCTGTGGACAGTGCAATCAGTGTTAGTCACGAACAGAAGCAATGACATTGAACATTGTTGGCTTTTGCATTTTGGTAAAATCTTTTTATCTCAAGATCATCACTCGGCCGAATGATAATGAACACAACTAGCATGAAACTTAGAGTAGCAACACATTGTGTTGCAACGAGTTTTGTTGCAACTCGGAGTTTCATGCCTAGCACTCCTCATCTCAGGCAACATGAATCACTCCAAAGTCGAACAAGATAGAAGGCTCTGAACGTTCTACAAGCACCCCACCAACTGTTCCATTTCAGACGGAAACTTCTAACTATTATTATAGTTGCCTGATGCTCGTCGTAATAACGTTACATGAAACTGAGAGTAATAACGTTACATGAAACTGAGAGTTGCGATACAGCTTCCAATCTCTCTCTTGTGTAATATTATAGTTAGAAATTCAACTGGGTTTACAAAACTAGAACAGGTATGCCATGAACAGGTATGCCATGGCACATTTCATGGGAAACAACGGTAAGTAGTTACTGAGTAGATGTAGCAGCATTCGGCCTTGTGCAGATTACATGTACCGGTACATGTATTATATAATACATGTACCGGTACATGTATTATACAATACATGTACCGGTACATGTATTATATAATACATGTACCGGTACATGTATTGTATAATCTAATACTAGTTCAAAACCAGTATGAGATAAACCTTGTTATAGTTCACGCATATTGTTAGATTGACAGCATGAAACAAGGTGGAGGACACTGTGTTCGGAAACAGTGGCCTTACTACAACCTTCCGCGGTTGGCAGAGCCCCTGTCCCTGCGGACCATTTGAACCATATGGGTGTTGAACCCGGTTCGGACCCTCATTATGCTAGGGGAGTTTTAGACTTCTCCTTACGTTCGTCGTGTATTCTTTGATCGCTCCTGGATGTCGTCCTGGTAGTCATTTAGCTACTTTTAAAACCTGAACTTTTTTGAAACTTCTTTTCTTCCAACTTCTGCCCATGGCGTCCTTCTCTCAGCTCGTCAGCTGTCAACAGTTCCTGCCACCACCATGACACTATCGTGAGAAGGTGCTCTCTATAGACGGGGTTGGTGATGTACCAACGCGGCCATGGGTAGGCCTTGACAAGATAATGAACATACAGGTTAGTCTCCAGCTGTACCAAAGAATGTAACCAACGTGTAGCAAAAATGAGGCACTTGCAATTGCTCAGGTTTTTTGTACATTCAAATCTTCTTGACCAATACCAGTTTACGTAACAAGATCAACAAACAAGTGATTTACAAACAAAACTAGTTGACGTGACCAACGTGTAGCCGGGGTGTTACGACGTGGTGAATGCCTACCAATGGCCACGTCGGGACGTCACCAACCCCGTCTATAGAGAGCACCTTCTCGCGACAGTGTCATGGTGGTGGCAGGAACTGTTGACAGCTGACGAGCTGAGAGAAGGACGCCATGGGCAGAAGTTGGAAGAAAAGAAGTTTCAAAAAAAGTTCAGGTTTAAGTAGCTACATGACTACCAGGACGACATCCAGGAGCGATCAAAGAATACACGACGGACGTAAGGAGAAGTCTAAAATTCCCCTAGCATAATGAGGGTCAGAACCGGGTTCAACACCCATATGGTTCAAATGGTCCGCAGGTACAGGGGCTCTGCCAACCGCAGAAGGTTGCAGTAAGGTCACTGTTTCCGAACACAGTGTCCTCCACCTTGTTTCATGCTGTCAATCTGACAGATTGCATATAGCAGCATTCGGCCAGCGAGACTACTCTAAGCGAATGAAGTGTAGTAATGATAGGTCTAAACCTACAAAGCCCGGACTTCAACTCTCCATGGTCTACAAGGCAAGTTGTGCTTCTTGTTCCGGACCTTGGAGATGTCATCTGAGGAATTTGGTAGTCTGGAAGCTGTCATCAGGGACCGCCTCATTCCAGCCCTCGCTGGTCGACTCCCTCCGTCCAGTGTGGAGCGACATATGCTCTCGTTCGCTTGTCGGGATGGCGGTTTGGGCTTCTCGATTCCCACCGCCCAATCTCACCACGGCACTATGCACACTCCCGAGCTGTTACTAATGAGCTCAGGGAAACGATCGTTAAGGCAGATCCCTCGCTAGTTGGTGTGGCAGACGTACCAAGACCGCCAAACGTCAAGTCCGCACTGCGGCTCGGGCATCACAGCAACAGCTGAAGGAGGGGTTTGTGGGTTTGTGAGCGGTGAAGGCGCAGTACATGCGGCTCAGCTTGAACTTGCTTCCTTCGTGGTAGCTCTGCTTGGCTGACGAAATCGCTAGCAATTTGTTCTTCGCTGCTGCCCCCAACCACACGTTGATGCGCTCACCACCCTCCGATGCCCCTAACCTCACTGCTTCCCTCTCTCTCTCTCTCTGTGTCTCTCTATCTCTCTCCCCCTTTCTCTCTCTCTCTCTCTCTCTCTCTCTCTCTCTCTCTCTCTCTCTCTCTCTCTCTCTCTCTCTCTCTTCATGTAGCTCTCTCCCCGTAGCTCTCTACCCTTGAAATTCGCTTCCATAGAATTGGGCACCATTGCCCGTTTGGCCTTGCGAAGTAAAATAAAAATCAACAACAACAAAAATGTCACGTCCTCTATCCTGTCATGGCTTTCGTCTCTCCAAGTCTGAGTTTAGAGATGCTCCGTGTTTGCGCTATGGCTGGGTGCCGGAGCATTTGCTGTCATCCTGCATCTGTGGCGACGCGCGCTTTGACGTTTCCCACGCGTTATCCTGCCCCTCCTCCCTTCCCCTGTCTTATCCTTCTCACACATCATGTGAAACCTGACATGCTCCGATATGTCTGCTTTGGACTACTGAACTACATACATGTAGTGTACTCTGTTCATCTTCTCTGTTTCACAGGGTCTAACCTATTCAAAATATTCTTCATATCTTGTAAGAGCCAGGCCAATGGTCTGGTGAGAAGGTATCAATCCTGTTCTTTTGAAGAAGCAACATCATAATATCATAGTACTTCACTTAACCATTACACAAATTCTGACCTTTGATCTTGAGTTGGATTGGCACATAGCTTATTGGGGGAAGGGTTACAAAAGGTTGACGGCTAAAGCTCAGCATACATTTCCACCAGCCAGCAGTCACGTCATTGACAATAACAGGGAATGTTGCTCGATTGTGCGAAGCATGGCGATAGTACTGCAGATTGTGCTCAATACACTGCACTGCCCAATTTGTTTCGCTTAAGTCTAGGTTGAGCTTCCTGAGCTTGCACCAAACGGGGAAGAGATCATGTTGCGAATGGCAGGTGATATTCTGTATGTCTCCGTATTCCCCAATGTAGTACGATTTGGGCAATCCCTCCTTGAAGTAGTACTCTGCAACAGGTAATGGCATGTCACAAGGACATAGCTTCTCATAAGCAACATGCATACAATGGTGTATGGGGGGGGGGGGGGGGGTAGTACGAGTGTGCATGCATGAAGCCATGCAGAGGGTTATGAAACAGGTCACTAGTTTTTAAATGACCTTTGTGCATGTATGCATACATGTGCTTGACTTTGTCCAGCAAGTTCCATCTAGCATAGACTCTAGTCAAAGAGTTGGTGGACAAGCCGTTGATTATTCACTCTCATTGTAATATCAAAAAAGTATTCTTTCTAGAGTGGTATATTTGATAACATTTTTAAATAACGATAGAAATATTTACGATACTTCTCCAGACGTTTCGTTGTTCTGAACAACATCGTCAGTGGATAAAGAATCTTTATCACATGGCACGTGATTGTTGCCCGTACTCCAGCGAATCAGCACCTTTCGCGCCGCGGGCAATAATATGCGATATTGCCCGCAAAAAAATAGTTTATTTGCCCGCAAAAAAATAGTTTATTTCAGTGATCGCGTGACTAAGCACGGCTGTCAAGAAGCGGCAACTAATAGTTATTACTTTAACCCTTTACCGGCAGCCCCATACTTGAATGCGTCAACGTTGACGCATTCGACAGGCATACAAAACTATGCCTGGCATGACGGGAAGCATCAGCCCACGGGAATTTCCCGTGGCCCTCACACAGCCTAGGTATGATCCTATCGGTAGCTGAAGAGATCCACGCGTGTCCCATTTGATTTCATTGAGAACTGCGCGATCGAAAACTTACGGAAATACACGCGCGCCGACAATGCCGCCCGCCTCCGTCAAAACATCGTCAGGTGCATTTCTCTTGCGCAGTGAGTTCCTTTCGTCCTCGGATGACTTCTCCGACGACGACCTAGCAGTCATTCGCTCTGGGACCGACGACAGATAGAAAAATATTTCGTTCCAGCCGCCGATGCAAGCGAATTTCAAATTACGGAGCGGTGCGCACGCCAAGAAAATTCGCACGCAAATATGGGGAGCGCCAGCCGCTGAAGACGATGTCGTCGTGATGTACCTGGAAGAATCTGATGGTGCTTATGGTGGGGAAGCCATGGAGAGCGATCCCCGTGTCGACAGTCTCCCAGAGACGGAATTTTAGCCCATCGACTTTCTACGTACTTGAGTGACGGCAGCGCAGCGCGGCGTGCGTGCGACCTTACGGAGCTTTCCGACAGCGATTCTGGGGCGATGCTGCTCTCATTTGCGAGCGAGGCATGGCCACTGAAGTTTGTGATGGCTATGGCGTTTGTTTCCGCTCCGAAGTCGACTTGTTTTGGTAGTATCATGTCAATGTCGGAACTCTGACGATTTGCATGTGTACAATTTCCGTGTTTAGACGTAGAGGTGCCAATTTAGCAGCGTATGTGTGTGGTATGAGAAAATAAATTTTTCCATGGTCAAGAAGTAGTACTAGACTTCCAAGAAAACATAACTTGCACATACAAAATGTGGCCTCGTTGTGAGTTATTGGTATAATAATAATTCGCGGGATTCGCGTTGGCATCGCTTGAATGTTCAGAAACACACAAACTAGCCTTCGCTTCCGCAGGCCACCACTATGCCTATGCCTTGCACACCTTAGTGGCGAATGCAGACCTCACAAGTGAGTCAGGGGAGAGTAGGTGAGTCTCTCAACCAATCGGGCGTGTAACGGCCCATAAACCCTGTAAACTGCATCCTTGTTACCCTCACTCCGAGCTGTGAGTACCCAGTTGACCGTGGGTGTCGGCGCAGTTCACCACGCATAAAAAGTCTTTACTCACGTAAAAATTCTTTACACGCTCCCTGCTACCAGCGCGGGTCTCGAACTCGGGACCTCATGATTCGCAGGCAGGCCTGCAAACCAATCGGCCATATGCGTTGGTCGTTGGTATCGTTCTAAATGTTATGGATTTCATATACAAAAGTAACTTGCCGGTAAAGGGTTAAGAAAGATGGCGTCGGTTCGAGATGGCATGGTAACCGCGCACGTGCCGTGGTCCGTGACTTGCTCATGTATGCACGCAAATGCAAGTCACAAACTCACAAAGATCGTCTTTGCATTTGGAGAAAATATCTTCGACTCTCTTTGGAGGTTGGCGAGGTTTGCCTAATCTTTACTTGATTGCGATGCCGGTATGTCCTCTCAATAATTAGAACAAAGAGAGCTGATGATCGCTTCATTGCTGAGCAGAAGTAACAATCAACTCTCCTCCGTGTCCTCAGTGCCAAAGGCAGACGACTGCAATTCCACAACGCTCGTTTCGTGATGGAAACAATAATCGTGTACTAGTACACACTTGGACCATTTGGTCATCCCTGTTCTAGCCGCTAGTCCGTCCAGCAAGCAGATATTGACTATTACGATAAGGACAACTGCGTGAACGAGGGCTCGCCCAGCAAATTCAATTCAAGACGTGTCTCCAGTCAAAAATTAGGGTCTTTACTTAGTACTCGAGAACGTCACAAATACAAGTCAAGGCACCCCACAAAACTGATAGATGGCACGAACGAAAGACAAATAGGCTAGACAAAGTGTCCCAAGTGATTGAAAACAGCAGATCTACCAAATAAGACAGCTACATGTGCCTAAACAACGATTCCCATACAGTAGAGAGTAGTATCAGGCAGAATGAAAGCCTTGGAAGTGCATAAATACAGCCACGACCGCCACAAAAATTGGACGACCGCCACAAAAAATTCTCATTGCTCTACCTCCTTGAAGGGTGAAAGTTACCAGTTATCCTATAGCGATGTCAGTTTATGCCTGTTGGAACCCCCCCCCCCCCCCACAGCCCGCACGAAATACCTTTCAAATAATTCCAGGATGCAATTGCAGCTCCAGACAGGAGGAAGAAGAACACCGTGAAAAATAATGGCAACGATGCCCAAACTCTCGGGAAACGGCTGAAGTCTTCCTGAAGATGTTAACATTGAATAGCCATCGATTACCAGCGTGGTTTGGTGACTTTAGAACTGTTTTGAGACTTAGAACGAAGCGATATCTCAAATTTGATGGAATTGTTACCTGTCAAATGCGTGGGCGAGCAGGCCAGCTGACTGGTTATGCATGAACATGCATAAGCATGCATTGATTTTTCATGGTTCACGTGCAGAAAACTAAGTTGCCGCGATCCAAGTGCAGCTAACAGCCGTGTAAGGTACGACGACTCTGTACTGTAGACCACGACTCTACGACGAGTCGCAGTGTAGCATTGAGACGAAGATGGAATTCTTTTTGGAGATGGACATCCCGGCAATGGACATGGCCTCGGACGTCTGCCGTGTGGTGCTTGCAGGGATCATTTGTTCAGTCATGTTGGCAGCCTGACCGTCGGTAAGCTTGTGGATAAGATTCAGTTCTGCTCGAAGTGGTACTGTGATCACAAACAATTATTTGAAATAACACAAATTCAACTCAGCGTCGCGCGTTTTCAAATCCTCGCAAAGTCACTGCCTGTGTGTGGTCTTCATGTGCCACGCAAAACTCTTACCAGGCTCATCTGACCTGTCCTCTGCCTTCACCTTTGCTTGAACAACAAACACAACAATTCAGGAATGTTTTGCAATGAAAAATACAGCTATCTGGAGCTGAAAAAAAGAAGAAAAATTGTCCTCAGAATTACACACCAGGGAGTCGTCAAATACTTGCACTTGTTGCAGTACTGTATTTGACAACTTCCTGATACACATGTAAACATGAAGAAACTCTTTGTGGTAGCACTCTTAATTTTTCAACTGAAATTATGATTCTGCTGTATTTTATTGTCGTTGCCATGTCTATTGCTATGACGATGCGGTGCCGGCACTTTTTTTTCTGTCTCCGTCTTTCAGTACTGTATACTCTCTGATGGCCTGTAGCAGACTTTTTGTTAGGGCGTAGGAGAAATATCTTCATTTTTCCTGTTTTGATAATGATAGCACATCAATTTACATTGTGGTCATAATGTGTTGGCATTTGGGCTAATTTCAACAGCAGCCCAATGGTCTGCTCTGTGGGCCATGTGATAAATTATTTGTTATCGCATGGTTGCTGCGGGCCTTATGGCATATTATTGCCCCTCGAGGTTAGCCCTCGGGCCTACGGCCCTCGGGCTAACCTCTTGGGGCAATAATATGCCATAAGGCCCTTGCAACCATGCGATAACATATACTTATCCTTTTTCTTTATCCACTGACGATGTTGTTCAGAACAACGAAACGTCCTTATTCTTTATCCACTGACGATGTTGTTCAGAACAACGAAACGTCTGGAGAAGTATCGTAAATATTTCTATCGTTATTAAATGTTATCAAATATACCACTCTTTGGTCTAGAAAGAATACTTTTTTGACATAGGCTCTAGGTTCCATCTAGCATAGGCTCTAGCTTCCATCTAGTATAGGCTCTAGGCTATCTAGCATGCATTCTTGAAAAAACTTCGTGATTTTCGGTACAACTGTGGGCTAGACAATCTGCTATGGGCTATTCCTAGTAGTTGTGGCCTCAGTTGCTGAGAGGTTTATGTCTGGTGGTCTTGCACAGGGTTGGGTTGGGCATGCAATTGCCATGATGGCCAACATGGCTACAAACATATTATAGATAGTTGCAAGCTGTACATGCGCATGCCTGAATGAAACTTGCTTTTGAAAGCAGGTTTGCGTTTTATGGGTGCTGGTGTTCCTACGGACGCGAAAACGCCGTGCGACGAGTCTATACACGAATCATGAAATATAAATAATGTTTTTAAAATTCATACACTTCTTTCTACGTACAGCCACAAGCGTTAAAACACATGTCAACTCACGTTTTTGCTCAAGTGTAACATTTGCTTGGAGCTGGAGGGAAGGAAAGGACGCCTTGCACACGTATACTCCTATGTCTTGGTCTGTTGAAGAATCGATCTGAACCACAGACAGCCATCCATTCTTTCCCGTTTCTTTGAACGATGCGGCGAGTTGCTGTGTATTCTTTGTCAAGGCACTTGTGTTGCCGTTCAAACTCCACTCCAGAACAGGAACAACGCTCTCGTTGTACGGATTAGGATGAACTGCGCACACAAGGCAAAGCTTCTCGCCGATGTGAAAGCTCATCCAATCCGTATCCCTGTTCGTCTGTATCGAGATTCCTGATGGCCAGGACTTGGCTGTACAGAAGCAATACCAAGATTCCACCTATAGTCAATACATGACTATAAGTCGAGTAAAGCTTGTTGAGCCTGAATAGAGATATCGTGTCATAATTATACTTCAGTACAATGTACTGAAGTATAATTATGTATACGCAAATACATTATCCGCCGACTGCTGTATGTGGTAACGTTAGAAATCAGGGACATTCCTTCCAAGGCTTCCATGCACTTACATGTACCTATACAGTATAATACTTAGGAGAGTAAACAGTTGTTTTGTAGATGGAGAACAATGTTTAGTAGATTTCTGTACCATTCTCGGTGATGAATGGATGGACGACAACGCGACCATCCAGAAATTCAAGCAACAATAATAATAATATTGTTCAAAGGATCAGTTGGGGAGTGAACTGCCTGAAAAGAGAAGAAAAGGCCAGCCCCACCAGGACTTGAACCCGGTCCTGGTGGGGCCTTGCTTGTCATGAGCAGTGCTCTAACCATCTGAGCTATGGGAACAAAGCCACCAGACCGAAACTAGAAGTTGGCATATTCATCTCTTTACTAGTTTGAGGGAAAGACACAAACATGCAATCAACAATTTTAGTAGTGGTTTGCCTTCTTCGGAGCAAAGAGGTCCAGCATGCCTTGGAAGAGGCTTTCACTGCAGAGTGCAGCCTCACTGGGACTGAGTGCTATGTAACACTCCCCGAGCCGCTATTAAATTTAGATGCACTTCGAGAATTCACATCAAGTTACCTTGGTCAGTATATGTGCCCTGGTCGCCCGCGAAGGTTAGACTGCCATGTGACCACAGTAGGACATTGACCCAGAACAACACCCTAAATGCCCCGCAGAAGGCATTCCGTACCGCCATACTGCCGCTGCCAGGCGCTCTGTGCTCACTCGCACGACAGTCCTCCACCATGAGAAAGTTGAGAGTAGCTCTGCCCTGCGCTGGCTAGGGAAACCAGTGGGAATGGCCGAGAATATCACCACGAATGAATTCTGGTTTCTTGAACTTTGAATCCTGGATGTGATGGCTTCCAAGTCACCCATGCAACGCATGGAGTGCTTTGTGTTTCTTCCCCTGAACACTCTGTTTTATTGGCCATACGCGTACTGTTGCCAAAATGCAGATGGCAAGTGTTGAGCTAGTGAGGAAAGGGTGAACTCCCACATCTACAGTTCGATACGGTATACCATGGTATACAGCTGGCTTTCATGCATATCACTTGTATACATCATTGCTGGGGTGCTCATGTGAGCTGTGTTAGAGTCACTCTATTCTCAATTTGACAAGTACATTCAATGTATTGGCAAGATAACTGTTGCTACCCTCCTGTACTCCAGCAACTTCCCTGCTTGTCAACATCATTTAAAAAGCTCACCTGGCAGAGATCTGTATATTGATCCGTCAAGAGCAGCACCGAAAGTAAACGCAAGCTTGACTATTTTCTTGGCTCCCGGTACTATACTGGGTAAACGCAAGATGAATGTGTCGTTTCGGCTCACTCCGCCGCTTTGCAGCGTTTTTGTCTGAATATTCCATGTTGCAATGCCATACTGATGTCCCTCGTACTGGCATTGCTGGCCTGCAGTCCAGGAGAAGAAGATCTTGACTGGGTCATCTGCATTGTGAACAGGCAGGTCTGCGTATGTCGTGCTTCCTGTCAGTTTCTTCTGACAGCGCGACGCATGGCTTAGCAAGTTCATCCTTACACAGGCCGTGATTTCAGTCAGAGGCTCCCCGAAAACGTGCAGAACAATCTTGGTATCGGTGGTGTTCCCTCCTGGCCGATCCTTGACCCATGCTTCCTGAACTGACAAACTAGGTGTACCTGATCAACACATACACACACACACACACACACACACACACACGCATACACAAACACACACATCTATTATAAATCTATACGCAGACTAGTACACAGAGCATGGTAGTCAGTTGCACCTAGCATGAAGGAGACAGGACGGGAACGGAAAGCATAACCAAAAACCTCTGCCTCTGCAAGACACCTAACATAGACCAATCTTGAAAAGATTGTCTGGGTTCGAAAGGGGGCACGCCAGCTGACTGGGCAGGCGTGATCACATTGTCCAGGTCGGTAAGGCATTATGCAGGGATTGTCATGTATTCAGCGCGGGACAATTGGAATAATTACATTTTTGTTTAGCTCTATTTTCCCCTTCTTTCACTTTTATTTGTCCATATAAGAATGGCGGTATTATCAAGTGCATATAAGATTTGTTCCAAGTAATCCCCATTCCATAGTAATGTAGATTCACTGATGAATGTAACAAGAAAATATTTCTGAACAAATCCTCTCTTTCCCTTTCGTTGTGTGCCTTGCGATCATCGATTCACATTTTACTCATACACGTGGACATTTAGGAAATTAATGCTTACAGTCCAACTAGTCGTCTGTGTCGCTATATTCAAACTGCTGTCTCCGAAACTCTTGACTCTTGTTTATTTATGTAGTTTATTTACACTTACGTCCTGCTCTTAGCTCGACCGTGCGTTCCGCTTTGCCGAGCTTGTTCTCGATCTCACAGCTCAGTAGTATGCCTGGCTGAAGATATCCACCTGGAGGTAAAGTTTTGGTCAGATTTCTTGTGACGCTGACTTCAGAGTCACTGAACACTTCTAGCTTGCTCCAACTCAACCGCACCTGTTGTTATGAACACGTCGAAGACAAAGGATATTATATTTGGTATACTGTTCTTCCGCAGATTTAGGAGTTAATTTCAATGCGGGTACTTTAAACGTCTTGTAGCATAAAATGGAGAAGTAAAAGAAGAACAGGTCTAAAGTTTACTCTACTAAGGGGCCATCCGGAATTATCGATATTTTTCGCGAAACGAAAAAGTTGAGTCATGACCCTCCAGCTCCCCCACCCACCCACCCCCATGAACGAAAAATATGACTTGACAGCTAGAATGGACTGATGTTTCAGCTATCAATATTTTTCATAACGAAACTCTCTTCAGCCCACCCGGCCATATCCATGGAAGAAACTTTTTCTCTTCATGATAAAGATCGATAATTACGGATGGCCCTTTTAAAAGCTATCACGACTCACCAGAAACTGCAACAAGAACTTCGATTTTGATCCCGAAACCAACAATGCAGTGACATGAGCAAGAGCATTAGCAATCCAACACTAAACTTGCACATCTGCTTGGTTACGAGAGGGGGGGAGCACTATTCAAGAGAGAGCATTTTCTAGACTAGACGCTGACTATTCGAGAAAGAAATCAAAGGGTATAATCAAGCCAGTACGGTATATGAAAGGAATAATGTCATACACACCTCTGGGGTGGGGTATGTGGCCATGTTCGGCGTACAAGATATGCTGATGGCAATGATATTGCTTGACCAGCCCACCAGGTAGACAATCTTCGGATCTGTCTCATCATCCATCGCAATGGGTAGGTGTTGCTGGACAACCGACGATCCCTCCACATACGCTGTTGCCCTTGCTTCAATCCATGCAGACTTTGGTTGTATTTCTGTGGACAGTGCAATCAGTGTTAGTGACGAACAGAAGCAATGACATTGAACATTGTTGGCTTTTGCATTTTGGTAAAATCTTTTTATCTCAAGATCATCACAAAATTCGGCCGAATGACAATGAGCACAACTAGCATGAAACTCCGAGTTGCAACAAAACTCGTTGCAACAAATTTTGTTGCAACGAGTTTTGTTGCAACTCGGAGTTTCATGCCTAGCACTCCTCATCTCAGGCAACATGAATCACTCCAAAGTCGAACAAAATAGAAGGCTCTGAACGTTCTACAAGCACCCCACCAACTGTTCCATTTCAGACGGAAACTTCTAACTATTATTATAGTTGTGATGAACTCGCGCCCGCTGACAGTTGTAAGTGCCGATGCAGCTGATTTGCAGCCTCTAACACCAGCACATTTCCTCGTCGGACGACTCGACCCACCAATGGCTCTGGAAGTGAAAGCAGACGAGCACCCCAGCAGAGACCCACGCAAACGTTGGTTGTATGTTCAGCGGCTTGTAGCAGACGTGTGGAACAGGTGGCGAGATGAGTATGTTCCCTTGTTGAATGTCCGTCGTAAGTGGCAACGTCAAGGTCGCAATGTAGTAGGCCTTGGCGGATAATGCTCGAAAAGGTGGCAGATTCTGCTTTTTTTGCTCCGAAATTGGCAGAACCATACAAACCTTATGGCGGGCAATTCCTCGAATTCTGCTCCATTTCTTTATCCACATACCAAACATGCATGAAACTTACCAGAAAAAGTACCGAATTCTGCCAATTTTTCTGCCGGCATTATCCGCCAAGCCCTACAATGTAGCCGTAGGTGACATCATGCTGTGTCTTACATCAAACACTCCCCGTGGAACATGGCCCATGGGTAGAGTCACAGCAGTGCATCCTGGTGCAGACAAGCTTGTCCGAGTAGTGGATATTAAGATCGGCGACAAGATCTACCGACGGTCTATCCACCATCTAGTACCTATTCTGGACACCGAGTAGTTTGTGCCTTGTGTATCTGAAGTGCTACAGGCAGCCCTGTGACAGTACTCTCTCTCTCTCTCTCTCTCAACCTATGAAGTTTTTCTTTCATCATACAGTACCGTAGTAGTACTCACTCGTCACAGTTTGTTTGCTGACCCTGTGCTCGTGAGTGAAGGGGGATATGTTCTGGAATATTCCCAGCTTGTGGTGAATCTTGCATGACCTTTCATTGTACTCAGGTTTCATTCCTTTTATTCTAGTGCATGCTGCTGGCGCCTGATGTATTGACTATTGTTACCGCAGGCCAGTCTCAACCTTTGCATTGTCTGAGATTCTAGTAGCGTATCGTTTGATGCATGTGCTGTCTCCATGCTATCTAGTCGTAATATATTCACTCGTCTTTGCATTTGTGCCCAGTCCTGTGGATACTCGGAGGCTGCGATTGCGCTCTCGCTTTCGTCATTCTAGAATGTATACTTCCATGCCTTTGAAGTTTTTTAGTTGTCAGTTTTGAACTGTAGGAAGCAGTTTACAGTTTTTGTTCTTGCAGTTTTATCTCAGAGGAGAAAGTTCTTGGTCTCATACTGTTACGAGTTGCTGTTGTATCTGGTTGAACGCATGCCGGGGCAACAGAGGGCAGCATGAGTAGCCAAGTTGCCTGATGCTCGTCGTAATAACGTTACATGAAACTGAGAGTAATAACGTTACATGAAACTGAGAGTTATAACGTTACATGAAACTGAGAGTTATAACGTTACATGAAACTGAGAGTTATAACGTTACATGAAACTGAGAGTTGCGATACAGCTTCCAATCTCTCTCTTGTGTATTATTATAGTTAGAAATTCAACTGGGTTTACAAAACTAGAACAGGTATGCCATGAACAGGTATGCCATGGCACATTTCATGGGAAACAACGGTAAGTAGTTACTGAGTAGATGTAGCAGCATTCGGCCTTGTGCAGATTACATGTACCGGTACATGTACTATATAACCTAATACTAGTTCAAAACCAGTATGAGATAAACCTTGTTATAGTTCACGCATATTGTGAGATTGACAGCATGAAACAAGGTGGAGGACACTGTGTTCGGAAACAGTGGCCTTACTACAACCTTCCGCGGTTGGCAGAGCCCCTGTCCCTGCGGACCATTTGAACCATATGGGTGTTGAACCCGGTTCTGACCCTCATTATGCTAGGGGAGTTTTAGACTTCTCCTTACGTTCGTCGTGTATTCTTTGATCGCTCCTGGATGTCGTCCTGGTAGTCATGTAGCTACTTAAACCTGAACTTTTTGAAACTTCTTTTCTTCCAACGTCTGCCCATGGCGTCCTTCTCTCAGTTCGTCAGCTGTCAACAGTTCCTGCCACCACCATGACACTATCGCGAGAAGGTGCTCTCTATAGACGGGGTTGGTGATGTACCGACGCGGCCATGGGTAGGCCTTGACAAGATAATGAACATACAGGTTAGTCACCAGCTGTACCAAAGAATGTAACCAACGTGTAGCAAAAATGAGGCACTTGCAATTGCTCAGGTTTTTTGTACATTCAAATCTTCTTGACCAATACCAGTTTACGTAACAAGATCAACAAACAAGTGATTTACAAACAAAACTAGTTGACGTGACCAACGTGTAGCCGGGGTGTTACGACGTGGTGAAGGCCTACCAATGGCCGCGTCGGGACGTCACCAACCCCGCCTATAGAGAGCACCTTCTCGCGACAGTGTCATGGTGGTGGCAGGATACCGTTGACAGCTGACGAGCTGAGAGAAGGACGCCATGGGCAGAAGTTGGAAAAAAAGAAGTTTCAAAAAAGTTCAGGTTTAAGTAGCTACATGACTACCAGGACGACATCCAGGAGCGATCAAAGAATACACGACGAACGTAAGGAGAAGTCTAAAATTCCCCTAGCATAATGAGGGTCAGAACCGGGTTCAACACCCATATGGTTCAAATGGTCCGCAGGGACAGGGGCTCTGCCAACCGCAGAAGGTTGTAGTAAGGTCACTGTTTCCGAACACAGTGTCCTTCACCTTGTTTCATGCTGTCAATCTGACAGATTGCATATAGCAGCATTCGGCCAGCGAGACTACTCTAAGCGAATGAAGTGTAGTAATGATAGGTCTAAACCTACAAAGCCCGGACTTCAACTCTCCATGGTCTACAAGGCAAGTTGTGCTTCTTGTTCCGGACCCTGGAGATGTCATCTGAGGAATTTGGTAGTCTGGAAGCTGTCATCAGGGACCGCCTCATTCCAGCCCTCGCTGGTCGACTCCCTCCGTCCAGTGTGGAGCGACATATGCTCTCGTTCGCTTGTCGGGATGGCGGTTTGGGCTTCTCGATTCCCACCGCCCAATCTCACCACGGCACTATGCACACTCCCGAGCTGTTACTAATGAGCTCAGGGAAACGATCGTTAAGGCAGATCCCTCGCTAGTTGGTGTGGCAGACGTACCAAGACCGCCAAACGTCAAGTCCGCACTGCGGCTCGGGCATCACAGCAACAGCTGAAGGAGGGGTTTGTGGGTTTGTGAGCGGTGAAGGCGCAATACATGCGGCTCAGCTTGAACTTGCTTCCGTGCGTGGTAGCTCTGCTTGGCTGACGAAATCGCTAGCAATTTGTTCTTCGCTGCTGCCCCCAACCACACGTTGATGCGCTCACCACCCTCCGATGCCCCTAACCTCACTGCTTCCCTCTATCTCTCTCTCTCTGTGTCTCTCTATTTCTCTCCCCCTTTCTCTCTCTCTCTCTCTCTCTCTCTCTCTCTCTCTCTCTCTTCATGTAGCTCTCTCCCCGTAGCTCTCTACCCTTGAAATTCACTTCCATAGAATTGGGCACCATTGCCCGTTTGGCCTTGCGAAGTAAAATAAAAATCAACAACAACAAAAATGTCACGTCCTCTATCCTGTCATGGCTTTCGTCTCTCCAAGTCTGAGTTTAGAGATGCTCCGTGTTTGCGCTATGGCTGGGTGCCGGAGCATTTGCTGTCATCCTGCATCTGTGGCGACGCGCGCTTTGACGTTTCCCGCGCGTTATCCTGCCCCTCCTCCCTTCCTCTGTCTTATCCTTCTCACACATCATGTGAAACCTGACATGCTCCAATATGTCTACTCTGGACTACTGAACTACATACATGTAATGTACTCTGTTCATCTTCTCTGTTTCACAGGGTCTAACCTTTTCAAAATATTCTTCATATCTTGTAAGAGCCAGGCCAATGGTCTGGTGAGAAGGTATCAATCCTGTTCTTTTGAAGAAGCAACATCATAATATCATAGTACTTCAGTTAACCATTACACAAATTCTGACCTTTGATCTTGAGTTGGATTGGCACATAGGTTATTGGGGGAAGGGTTACAAAAGGTTGATGGCTAAAGCTCAGCATACATTTCCACCAGCCAGCAGTCCTCTCATTGACAATAACAGGGAATGTTGCTCGATTGTGCGAAGCATGGCGATTGTACTGCAGATTGTGCTCAATACACTGCACTGCCCAATTTGTTTCGCTTAAGTCTAGGTTGAGCTTCCTGAGCTTGCACCAAACGGGGAAGAGATCATGTTGCGAATGGCAGGTGATATTCTGTATGTCTCCGTATTCCCCAATGTAGTACGATTTGGGCAATCCCTCCTTGAAGTAGTACTCTGCAACAGGTAATGGCATGTCACAAGGACATAGCTTTTCATAAGCAACATGCATACAATGGTGTATAGGGGGGGGGGGGGGGTAGTACGAGTGTGCATGCATGAAGCCATGCAGAGGGTTATGAAACAGGTCACTAGTTTTTAAATGACCTTTGTGCATGTATGCATACATGTGCTTGACTTTGTCCAGCATGTTCCATCTAGCATAGGCTTTAGGTTCCATCTAGCATAGGCTCTAGGTTCCATCTAGCATAGGCTCTAGGTTCCATCTAGCATAGGCTCTAGGTTCCATCTAGCATAGGCTCTAGGTTCCATCTAGCATAGGCTCTAGGTTCCATCTAGCATAGGCTCTAGGTTCCATCTAGCATAGGCTCTAGGTTCTATCTAGCATAGGCTCTAGGTTCCATCTAGCATAGGCTCTAGGTTCCATCTAGCATAGGCTCTAGGTTCCATCTAGCATAGGCTCTAGGTTCTATCTAGCATAGGCTCTAGGTTCTATCTAGCATAGGCTCTAGGTTCCATCTAGCATAGGCTCTAGGTTCCATCTAGCATAGGCTCTAGGTTCCATCTAGCATAGGCTCTAGGTTCCATCTAGCATAGGCTCTAGGTTCCATCTAGCATAGGCTCTAGGTTCCATCTAGCATAGGCTCTAGGTTCCATCTAGCATAGGCTCTAGGTTCCATCTAGCATAGGCTCCAGGTTCTATCTAGCATAGGCTCTAGGTTCTATCTAGCATAGGCTCTAGGTTCCATCTAGCATAGGCTCTAGGTTCCATCTAGCATAGGCTCTAGGTTCCATCTAGCATAGGCTCTAGGTTCCATCTAGCATAGGCTCTAGGTTCCATCTAGCATAGGCTCTAGGTTCCATCTAGCATAGGCTCTAGGTTCCATCTAGCATAGGCTCTAGGTTCTATCTAGCATAGGCTCTAGGTTCCATCTAGCATAGGCTCTAGGTTCCATCTAGCATAGGCTCTAGGTTCCATCTAGCATAGGCTCTAGGTTCTATCTAGCATAGGCTCTAGGTTCTATCTAGCATAGGCTCTAGGTTCCATCTAGCATAGGCTCTAGGTTCCATCTAGCATAGGCTCTAGGTTCCATCTAGCATAGGCTCTAGGTTCCATCTAGCATAGGCTCTAGGTTCTATCTAGCATAGGCTCTAGGTTCCATCTAGCATAGGCTCTAGGTTCCATCTAGCATAGGCTCTAGGTTCCATCTAGCATAGGCTCTAGGTTCCATCTAGCATAGGCTCTAGGTTCCATCTAGCATAGGCCCTAGGTTCCATCTAGCATAGGCTCTAGGTTCTATCTAGCATAGGCCCTAGGTTCCATCTAGCATAGGCTCTAGGTTCTATCTAGCATAGGCCCTAGGTTCCATCTAGCATAGGCTCTAGGTTCTATCTAGCATAGGCTCTAGGTTCCATCTAGCATAGGCTCTAGGTTCCATCTAGCATAGGCTCTAGGTTCCATCTAGCATAGGCTCTAGGTTCCATCTAGCATAGGCTCTAGGTTCCATCTAGCATAGGCTCTAGGTTCCATCTAGCATAGGCTCTAGGTTCCATCTAGCATAGGCTCTAGTCAAAGAGTTGGTGGACAAGTCGTTGATTATTCACTCTCATTGTAATATCAAAAAAGTATTCTTTCTAGACCAAAGAGTGGTATATTTGATAACATTTAATAACGATAGAAATATTTACGATACTTCTCCAGACGTTTCGTTGTTCTGAACAACATCGTCAGTGGATAGAGAATCTTTATCCTTTTTCTTTATCCACTGACGATGTTGTTCAGAACAACGAAACGTCTGGAGAAGTATCGTAAATATTTCTATCGTTATTAAATGTTATCAAATATACCACTCTTTGGTCTAGAAAGAATACTTTTTTGACATAGGCTCTAGGTTCCATCTAGCATAGGCTCTAGCTTCCATCTAGTATAGGCTCTAGGCTATCTAGCATGCATTCTTGAAAAAACTTCGTGATTTTTGGTACAACTGTGGGCTAGACAATCTGTTATGGGCTATTCCTAGTAGTTGTGGCCTCAGTTGCTGAGAGGTTTATGTCTGGTGGTCTTGCACAGGGTTGGGTTGGGCATGCAATTGCCATGATGGCCAACATGGCTACAAACATATTATAGATAGTTGCAAGCTGTACATGCGCTGCCTGAATGAAACTTGCTTTTGAAAGCAGGTTTGCGTTTTATGGGTGCTGGTGTTCCTACGGACGCGAAAACGCCGTGCGACGAGTCTATACACGAATCATGAAATATAAATAATGTTTTTAAAATTCATACACTTTTTCTACGTACAGCCACAAGCGTTAAAACACATGTCAACTCACGTTTTTGCTCAAGTGTAACATTTGCTTGGAGCTGGAGGGAAGGAAAGGACGCCTTGCACACGTATACTCCTATGTCTTGGTCTGTTGAAGAATCGATCTGAACCACAGACAGCCATCCATTCTTTCCCGTTTCTTTGAACGATGCGGCGAGTTGCTGTGTATTCTTTGCCAAGGCACTTGTGTTGCCGTTCAAACTCCACTCCAGAACAGGAACAACGCTCTCGTTGTACGGATTAGGATGAACTGCGCACACAAGGCAAAGCTTCTCGCCGATGTGAAAGCTCATCCAATCCGTATCCCTGTTCGTCTGTATCGAGATTCCTGATGGCCAGGACTTGGCTGTTCATAAACAATACCAAGATTCCACCTATAGTCAACACATGACTATATAAGTCGAGTAAAGCTTGTTGAGCCTGAATAGAGATACTGTGTCATAATTATACTTCAGTACAAGTACATGTATATGCAAATACATTGTCCGCCGACTGCTGTATGTGGTAACGTTAGAAATCAGGGGCATTCCTTCCAAGGCTTCCATTCACTTACCTATACAGTGTAATACTTCGGAGAGTAAACAGCTGTTATGTAGATGGATAACAATGTTTTGTAGATTTCTGTACCAGTATCGATGATGAATGGATGGACGACAACACGACCATCCAGAAATTCAAGCAACAATAATAATAATATTGTTCAAAGGATCAGTTGGGGAAGTGAACTGCTTGAAAAGAGAAGAAAATGCCAGTCCCACCAGGACTCGAACCCGGGGCCTTGCTTGTCACGAGCAGTTCTCTGACCATCTGAGCTATGGGAACAGCGCCACCAGACCGAAACTAGAAGTTGGCATATTCGTCTCTTTCCAGGCAGTTCACTTCCCCGACTGATCCTTTGGATTCCAAACTCTCCCATTCCTTCCCAAAAATAATGTTATTGCTTGAATCTATAATATACATGCAATCAACAATTTAGTAGTGGTTTTCCTTCTTCTGAGCAAAGGTCTAGCATGCCTTGGAAGAGGCTTTCACTGCAGCCTCACTGGGACTGAGTGCTATGTAGCACTCCCCGAGCCGCTATTAAATTCAGATGCACTTCGAGAATTCACATCAAGTTACCTTGGTCAGTACATGCGCCCTTGTCGCCCGCGGAGGTTAGACTGCCATGTGACCACAGTAGGACATTGACGTAGAACAACACCCTACATGCCCTGCACAAGGCATTCCGTACCGCCATACTGCCGCTGCCAGGCGCTCTGTGCTCACTCGCACGACAGTCCTCCACCATAAGAAAATTGAGAGTAGCTCTGCCCTGCGCTGGCTAGGGGAACCAGTGGGAATGGCCAAGAATATCACCACGAATGGTTTCTTGAACTTCACTATAGTAATCCTGGATGTGATGGCTTCCAAGTCACCCATGCAACGAGTGCTTTGTGTTTCTTCCCCTGAACACTCTGTTTTATAGGTCGTACGCGTATTGTTTGTTACGCGTACGCGTATTGTTGCCAAAATGCTGTAGCATCATTGTAAGTAATAAGTTGTAGTAGGCATAACGAAGTCAGTTCCAGACGAATCACGACTAGCGTAAATGAACACAGCATCCGTAAACAGATGATGCCTGATGGCCACACGGTATAGTACGGCAAAGAGCGAATATCATGAGGCACGACAGATGACGACAGTTGCATGCCACCGATCCCTGTCACAGGGATTATCCCTACTCTGAGTCAGACAGTAGTACTCAGGCTACTACCTCCTTAGCGCAACACACCTACATTGTACTTGAATACTGCATGACATACCACTAAGCACTTTTGCCCAGTCTCTGATGACATTTTGACAGTCTTGGTGGTAGGGTGGCAGCAGATTGTTGGCCTGTTGGCGACATGCATCGCGGCTCGTATTGAGCAGGAAAGGGGAATTGTACCTAGGCTAGAGGCTAGATGTCACCTAGGTGCTTAATAATATAGCACGCATAGCTCATATGAAAAATCCAATGAGGGTCATGCATCTGTCGACAACGTCGAGCCAGTGCGTTCTGTCTGAGGCAAGTTGCTCCGCTTCCAAAAGAGACATATTGAGAAGTAAAATAATAATAATAATAGTTACAGTTCGCATGTCACTCATGGAAGGATCCATGGGCTTAACGCATCTGTCAACGAAATCCAGGCAGAAGAGCCGACAAAAGGCATCTCATTATTGTTAGAACGTATCGCAGCAAGAACAACTACGCAAGCGCAGCACATTTTTCCACAAGCATCAGCCATTCTTTCTTGTCTAGAGCCAGTTCAAAACAGTCAGAAATATCAATATTGGCGTGCTTTAGATCACTTTTAATATTGTCAATCCATCTGAGATGGGGTCGGCCACGTGGGCGCTTGATGTCCCGGGTATTAATTGCCATCTCCAGTGCTTGGTAGGATGCTGAGTTACGTCCTTCGCGAACAACATGGCCCAGCCAGAGCAGCCGACGTCTGCGACAGGTAGTGCTGACTGGGCCTTGTCGCGTTGAGGCGTACACCTTGGCATTCGACATGTGGTGAGGGTACACCACACCAAGCAGGTACCGCAATTTTCTGCGGTGCCATGCGTCCAGCCGATTACTGAGTTGCTGTGTCAGGGCCCACAGTCCGCAGCCGCAGCGAAGTAAAAGGTCATTCCTAATGTTGTCTACCCATCTGGTCACTGGGCGACCTCTGGGCTTCTTTATATCTGTTATATTCATTGCCAATGTGAAGGGCTTTGTAGGACACAGCGTCCTTCCCTTCACGAATGACATGTCCACACCATAATAAGCGCCGGCGTCTACAGACTGCACTTATTGGGCATTGAGCAGTTTTAGCATAAAGAGCATTATTCGAAATTTTATTGGGAAAGATGATTCCAAGTATGTATCTGAGTTTACGGCGGTGCTTCACCAGCATCAAACATACCGAACGAAAACAGGCACCGTGATCACTCCTGGAACGTACAAGCAGCTGGAACAGCTGGACGAGTGACTTGCTCCAGTGCCAGAGCTGCTGTCGCCTCGTCTTCATCATCGTCAACAGCATTACTACACACAGAGTTGTATGGACATTGAGTCACTGACATACATGTACCAGTCCTGCTCCCACTGTGACCATGGCGACAGCATCATCTCCACCATCAGCATCATTCAAATTTTCCATTTTCTTCATCACTATCCAGCCATTGGCATCACCATCCCAAAGACAGCCTCATCATCATCATGTGACCAAGCCGCTTTTACGGGCAACAATATTATGAATATAAAACGCAAGGTATTGTAAGAGCAATTTTCTGAAAATAATGTTAAAACATGAAATAGAAAAATGCATTATCACACCGTAGCCACTTTTATGGGCAAATTCCAATACAAGGCAATAAGAAAACGAGGATGAAGTTAACCTTTTAACCCAAAGAAAAGACAAAAGATGTCAACAATAGAACTACAAATATAAAAAACAAACATCAGGTCATAAAAACTACTTTAAAACATAACCAAATGACAGCAAAGCGTGGAGAATGAGATTGACTTACAAAACAAAAGTAGTCCTACTATGCTTACAAAACAGAATCTACCTACACCACTAAGGAAGAAACATTAAATGATTGCAGTCTCACAAACACCGGCCTCTATCTAACGACCCATCAAACAATAACTCCTGAAATTCTTCACTGACTTTTTCTGGTAGGAGCTACGGCAGCCGCGAAAACAGGTCACTGCCCAACGGAGTAAAGTGAACGAGAGCAGGCACCGCAATCGACCCATAACCAGCGAGTAGGCCAAGTCACTGTGTTTATCGACATACTGGGCTGCAAGACACTTGAGAAAGCGGTCTGCCTCCTGGCCACACATGCCATTCGTGGCGAAAACCAACGGGGTGAATGTGCCTCGGTCTATATTCACAACACGCGCTCCGTATTCCCGCTTTTTCATGCCTTCATGCTTTTGGAGATGGCGCTGGACTTCTGGACGCGACAGCAGGTTTGGCTTTGGGTGAGTCACCCGAAAATCAAAAAAAGCCTCCTGCTGCCTGGACCAGAAACCCCGCGCCCTCACATCGAGGCGAGCTTCGAATTTCCTGTTGGCTGTACGATGGGGAAGATCCTCCCCATCAAATGGCGCTAGCACCGGCTCCACCTCCACGTCAGGCAATACCTCCGACAGTACACCCGCCAGCAAATCGCGAACATCATGATGGCGTGCGATGGTGTAGCCGCCAGTAGGACAAGCATCATCATCATCATCATCATCATGAGAAAAGCCTCTTTTACGGGCAAAGCAAATGTATATCATTACAATATGTAAAGTGAACAGGGGAAATCAACACAAAACCAACCGGAAAATGATGAAACACAAAAGCAGTCAAGGAAGTAAATCAATACAAAAACAAGCAATGAACACAGAGTAATAAAAGGGGAAAAACCAAATAGCATTATATTAAGTTGAGGCCAAAGGCAGCACCCTACTCCGCCTGGCGGCACTGGGCCAGAAATGAGTTCGGCTGTCGCCTCTTGCCGTACGAACCGCGGCAACCGCGGAAGCAGGTGACTGCCCATCGCAGCAAGCAGAAAGACAAACGGGTGCGTAGTATGCCCATTACTAGTGGGTACTTCAGTTCAGTATGGCGCTCAACAAACAGGGAGGCCAATGATTTCAGGAATTGAGTAGTTTCTGGGCCACTAAAGCCGTACGTCGAGAACACAAGTGGCGTGAAGGAGCCGCGCTCCACGTTAACCACACGGCTGGCGTATTGATTTTTCTTGTTTCGCTCGTGAGACTTCAGCTGACTCAGGGCTTGTGATCGAGACAACACAGACGCTGCGGGATGAGTGATCCGCACATCAAAGTAAGCGTCCTGTTGCCACGACCAAAAGCCGCGAGCCCGCACATCCAGACGAGCTTCTGCGCATCGGTTGAGGGAACGACCACCAGGCAAATGCTCACTGCTGCAGGGCAATAGCCGGGGCTCCGTCTCTACGTCCACCACTCCAGCCTCCCTCAGTAGTCCAGCAACCAAGTCCCGCACCTCATTGTGACGGGCAATGGTATAGCCGCCAGTGGCACAGGTAAGTGCATGAGCGGGGCTGAGAGGCACACCACAAACACATGAATCGGGTAGCCCACTCAACCTTCGCCCATAGCGGATGCACAGGGCATCACGGAAGTCGGATTTCTTCAGGATGGTTCCATCTTGCCACCGCGGGGCAACAGTCAACCATGACGATACTCCCTTTTCGGACGCGATTTCAACAAGAAATTGTTGCTCCGAGCTCAAGTCCGCCTTAATGTCTTGTTGCCGGCTGCATAGGCTCCGCATTTTGCTTGTCCGAGTCGAGCGTGCCAGCTGGCGGGTGTCCCCAACAGCATCGCGGACGGGATCATGATTGGAGAGCCTCACTCGGTCGGCAACCTCCTGGGTTGTATCACCGGAGCCCTCTGACTGGGCAGTATCCGACAAATCGCTCCTTGCCATATCACCAGGCACGCTTGGAGGGTTCGCATATGTGCCAGTCAACAGTAGCTGAACAAGAGGCTTTGTGATGCTCAAGGATGCTGCGAGCTCTGCTGGTGCACTATCCTGCAACAGAGGGAGGGCCAAACCACCAAGACGCACTGGAAATGACATCAGCTCTCTCTCAGGGCTACCAGGACGAACGCCATCCCCCAGAAGGGCAGGTATCAGGCAATCATTGATCCTCTCATCAAGCTCGGCCAGTATCTCAGCCGAACAAGGTGAGCAACGCAAGTGGTATGTCCATGTGGATGACAGACCCTTCGTAAAAACGGTGTATGCGGCCTGAGGCTGAGTGACAGCCATCCCCGTCAGGGAATCCAGAACCTGCTTCCATTTATCCACCTTCTTGGCCATGAAGGCAGAGCAGAACTCCTCACTGCCAATCGCTCCGCCGAGGTGACGGTTGCCGCTGGTCTTGATGGTAACTCCAGTGGCGGAGAAGAGGCGCTGGGCCTCTTCCTCATGCTCCGGCTTGACCAGCAACACTGATTTCTGTGGGTTTGGAATGTATCCATAGTCAGGGCCCAGTTGGCTTATGTCTCCCCAGTATGTGGACAATGAAGAAACGCGGCCACCTGCAGAATCGTCGTCCGCGTACCAAACCTGAGCCACAGATGGATTGGATTCCTGGAGGCGCCGAATCATCGGGACTGTAGCGATACCATACAGAGCCATGGCCAGCGGATCGCCCTGGCAAGTACCCTCCAGTGACTCAATCTCCCCGCCGCCGGAGACGAAGAGACGAATTGAAGAACTGTACGTGTTCTGGAACACCTTTGCCATAGCGGGGCATACATAGGGCACGTTATGGAGGGCCGCGTTTCTATTCAATGAATTGAACGCATTCGTAGCATCTACAAACAAGATGCCTTCCGTGTCCTCTCGTGCGAACAACTCCTGCATTGCATGAACCCCTGCCTCACAGGCAGACGGCACCCCAATGCACAATTGCATGGGAGCAGTAGCACGCAGTACA